AACCATATAGTAATAATAATATATTAGCTTCGCTAAATGGACCGCGAGAATTGTATTGTCTCGAGACTGGAGGACAAGCGAGTGGGACCCACTCTTTATTTACGTAGGTGGTCCCCACCGGACTTCTCAATTTAACTCCAGAAACCGGCTACCGGCGCAATTCGCGCTCATCGGCTTCCCACCGGAAACCACGTGTCGTAAGCACGTTGCGATGATGTGGACGCTTCTGATTCAGCAAGATTTTGAATATTTTCTTACGTACAAATATAATATATAATATAAATATAATAACTAATATAGACATTTAGACAGTATTTTTAAAATAAAATAATATCTAATATAAATATAATAATTAATATGAGACATTTAACTTCATTTCATCTAGTGGGTGAAAATCGGATCGAAATTGGAACTTTCAGAAATAATCAGTTTTTTTCGAAAGTGAAATACTTATATTCCAATTTTGTTGCTAATATAAGAAAAGTGGAAAAGCGGGATTTCGGAATAAAAAATTTGTTCCCAAATTTAGAGATTTTATGATCGGAATTCGGGAAATTTCAATTTCTTAGCCATCTAAAAACACAAAATACACAATAATATGTATATTATACATACGTGTATATTTCGAAGAGAAAAAAAGTCGGAATTTTCAAAAAGTATTTTAGGAAATCGAAATCTCATACTAATTCCACTTTCAATTCAAAAAAGGAAGGGAAAACAAATAATTGGATACCCATGTGTGTTTAATTAGTTCGTTTACTATTATTTTATTTTGTGTTTTATTTTTTTTATCTCAAAAAAACAATAGGGAGAAAAAAGGATGTGAGTTTTTGTTTTTGGTGGTTTGCTGTCAGTATGTATTAGGCATGAAAAATTAGGTTTAGAGGATTTGGTAGTTATTAAGTCTACCTTAATTTTGGTTCTAAAGCCCTAAATACTGCGAATTTTTTTTTTTTATTTTTTCGTAGGTTTAGTATTTTTGTCTAAAATGAAGTTAACACTTGTAGTTTTTGAATATTGGTGTCTTTATTTAGAAAAATATATATTAAATTATTACGTTTGGCTAACAAATTTTTTTTTTTTTTTTTTTTTGAGAAAGCTAACAAATTATTTTAAGAAGCTGATAAACTCTTATATCTGATTAATTGTTTTAAGCGCACGTTGATAAGTTGTTACATCTTAATTTTAGAATTAAATGATTGGATATTATAAGATATTTTCATTCATAATGAGATCTTAAATAAAAAGTTGGACTAAATGTATTTTTTTTAAATATCTTATTTGCTCTCCAACGTCTTATTTTTTTTCAATTTTGTAAGATTTTTTTAAAACGAAATATTGAACACTTTAGAAGTGCTTATAAGCTCTTAAACATCATATAAGTTATTTTTAACAACTTATAAGTTTAGCCAAACACATTCTAAGCGTTTTTTTTTTTTTTGAAAAAACATTCTAAGTGTTATTGAAGCCTATCAACACCGCTAACAAAAAAAATAATAAAAAAATCACACAATTGAAAATTTATTTGATTGACTATGACAATAATATTGACAAGGTGTTTACGATAAGAAAATATTTAACATACATCGCATTATTACATTAGAAATTTAGAACAATAGTTGAAATGTATTATTATATTTAATATTATAAAAATTATGAATGAATGCAAAGAGCACGTTTGATTACACTATCAATTGTATAATTATATTTTACCCATTTTTATATGAAAATAATTTGTATTTCAGAAATTAAAATAGTAGTATTAAATTATTTAGCAAAAAAATTAGTAAAAAAAAAAAAGAAGGAATTTTGAACGTTGATTAATCATATAGACAAATAAAATATTTATCTTCTGGCATTAAAGCTTTCCCGCAAAAGAATACGAAATGTGGTTCCCAACAATAAATGTTGGGACAATAATTAGTAAATAATTGAGAAATATCAGCCCACCTGGCCGCCGCCGCTATACTCCGGCGGCTGCGGTGGCAGCTCAACCACCACTCCGCCACGCAATCCTCCACTCACAAACTAAAACAAACACCTTCAAGCAAGTGGGAGTCAACTTGTCATTCTCATCTCAATCTTGTCTTCATTTAAGACAAACTCCACAAGTACAAAACCAACTAAATTTCAATTTTTTTTTTAAATAAATATATATTTTAATCTTAATTTTAATAATATGTTAACCTGATTTTCAGGGTCCTTGCTTCTCTCCTCTCCCACTCGTGGGCACGACCCTTTTGTCCAATTTAAAATATTATTATTTCATATTCTTTCCATTTCTATGAACTCCACACTTGTTCTTTTTTTATATATATGTGAAAATAATTTTTTTAATGATGAAGTAACTTGCAGCCAATTATATAGTTACACTGTGTAAACATATACTCTCGTATAGTAGCTTGTAAATTATAGAAACGGCGTAATGTATATTAGACTACTCACGTGTGACAAGCTCGATTTAATGACCATTGACCAGATAATTCAAACTCGAGTCAGTTAACATATATTCAATAAAACAAAAAAAAAAAGTATTTTATTTTATCATATACGACATGGGTCACAATGAACTACTATAGTTTACAATAAACTAATTAAACAATTTAGTTTATGGGGAACAAGAACATATTTTAGTGGTTTGGGATTCCTAGGAATTGTTTTTAGTTTAATTTCGTACTTTGTGTTCAATTATTTATTTTTTATTTTTTATTTGCAATAGGTAGTATTTTAATGTAAAGAAAAGGATCTCCCATGCTTGTAAAGAAGATAATTATTTGCTTGATTGATTGATGGAATTTTAGCAACCCATATTTTGGGGTTGTTTCAGTATTTTGAAAAAGTAAATAATTTTTTTTGTTTTGGACAATGAGATAAGAAAATAAAATAATCGAATAATGGAAATGTATTTAATTGATTTGTTTGGATTCCGAAATATTTTTTTAGTAGCAGGTGGTTTTTGTTACTATTGTTTGTTGTGCTTTTATATAGAATTTATAGATATTTTATTAATATAATTTCTATTTATAGCTCGTGAAAGATTACAAGATGCATGAATATTTATTTAATTATTGATGCATAGTTTTGATTCAAATGACATCCAAAAAAAAAAAAAAAAAAAAATAAAATAATGTTTCTGGAACGCCAATCATTAACATTTTGATGATAGTGACAAAAATTCACGGAATATCAGTATTGTAGTTTGTGTTTTTAGGAGCGTTTTTGCGCACGCCTTTTTGTGCGAGTATTTTTTAGCATGCTTTTGTAGTTCGTGTTATCATTAGTGTTTTTAAGCGAGTACTTCTGTTAATGGGTATTTAATTTCCTAGCATTGTAGTAATAAATGTCATGCTAACGCGTATAACCGTTCTTTTAATCGTCGTCCATAATTAGAAATTGAAAAGTAGAATATTTTTAATGAAATTTGTTCAAAATCTAAAACATAAATCCAAAAAATAACATGACAAGTCAAAATTTAAAAATTACATTAATGCGTCACATTATTGTAATGAAGAAGGCCCTGTAAATTTATACTGACAATGTAATTAAGTATAGTAATTATTGGACCATTAGTCCATTAACGATGTCGTGCTAACGGGTGATAACCGAAGCATAATCACATGCACTTCGAAGAGGCTTCGAGGCTGTTAAGAGGCAATTAGCAGAATATTAGATTGTTAATTAATGGCTAATCACAATTTTCTAGAATCTTAAGATCAATAATTAGGAGTGTGGTGGTCCTAGTGGCAGTGACTCTTTAGGGGTTTAAATGGCTAATTAGAGATTCATTTCCATTAATGCTACTGAAGTATTTGACTTAATTAGTTGCTAATTTCTATTGATCAAGTTGAGTCATGATCGTGATGGTTTGGTGTTATATCTTTTATATATATATATTTAGTGCACAATTTATATATAATTATAAAATACATGTTGTACGATGTTAGTCTAGATTTTATAGCAATTGTCCAAGGGGTGAATGTTTAGGGTATGATTGGACCCAGTGACGAGTCCAGGACTTTACTATAGAGTGAGCTTAAATTTTTGGGGGTTCAGGGGCAACACCCTCGAATTTGTTTAGGACAAATTACGGAGAGAGAAAAAAAAATTAGGATTTTTTTGGAATAATTTTGAGTTTTTAATGAGATTCTACAATTGGTGTAAAAATAGAGGTTTAGATGTTCGATTTCCAGCAGGAGCAAATATTAGTTAGTCTGAATTTAATAGTAATTGTCAACGTGATGTAGCTACAAACAATGTAAATAATGGTGGGAGAAAATGTACTTGTCTAGAAAACAAAGAAAGAATAATTGGAAAAGATGACACAATAACTAAAGGCTAAAGCCCAAACCCCCAATATTTATAAGAACTATGCGCAATTTGATGAATTAAATTCTCTAATATAAGAGATTGGCCCAATTCTTAATTTTGTCTTTGATTTTGAACCCTTCCATGGTTGATTTTGAATCCATTAAGGTTTAGTTTTCGGGTAAATTACTACGATGTAAGGTTAAATTACGAAAAATCAGATATGTTTGAGTAATGACAACTATCCTTCAATTATGAGTTTTCTTATACGTCCACGTCCATTCTTATGGTATCAAATTCAACATAATCTTATAGATTCCGTAAAATATTCTCTAGTTTGCACTCGTTTTATACAAAATTACAATTTGATACACCACAATGATATTTACATGTCAAGAGAAACATCTTATGATCATCTTGTATCAAAATGTGGAGCTCGAATGATAAAACAGGTATAAATTAGAGAATATTCCACATAATCTACAAGATTCCACTAAATTTAACACTTCAAGAATAAACGTGTAAGAAGATTCATAGTTGATGAGTGGTTGTAATTACCCAAAAATGAAAGATTTTTTTTCTCGTAATTTGAGCTTATCTCAGGGTCGGGTGGCCGTAATTTACCCTTAGTTTTAATTACAATCCAATTATAAGTGACATTTCTGCAGCAGATGAAGTAAAACACCTTGAAAGAATTTGTGGTATTCACAATCACATTCTCATATATATATATATCAAAAGTTAACCTTTCACCAAGAAAGTGAAAGAACATTTTGCAACTCACCAAAACCAAAAAAAAAACAAAACATTGCACTACCTAAGACTAACAGCAGAAATCACACATAATCATTCCCATCTACCAAAAAACTCGACAGCCAAGTAATCACGACTCTTCACCATCGAAGCACAAAAGCCTCTGCTCAAGAAAATGCTCACAATTTCAACCTCTAGCCAACATGACATCCAAGTTCGTTTTTTGATCGACAGAAGACGCCCCGTTTGAGCGAGAATCGTCCGATGAATACTTCTCCTTACCACCTCGTACTTGATTCAGTTGCACAAAAGCAATCATGGTTATAGCCAGCAAAGCAGCATTCCCCACTATCCCAACCGCTTGATCCAATTTGAGGCACTTGGAAACAAAATCGAAGCTCGAAAGGAAGAAATTAGCGACGGGATTTCTCGGCCTCTTCTCTTTCTGCAGTACATTGGTTTCATCCTGCGAAGGATATGGAGTCGAACCATAGGGATTTTCTGTCTCGACAAACCGACTGGCGTCTCTCACATCGCCTACCAAAGCTTGTGCTTCTTCGATGACTTTGTAATTTTTGCCTTGATGCTCGGCCAATTTCATTGCAAGAATGATTCGGCTTTGCTCTAAACGAGCAACCGCAGCGTCTCTCTCCGCTCGTTGCTGAGTTTGCACAGTCTAACAAACGTAAACATTGGGTTACGTGTTAGTCATTTTACTTTAGGGAAACAATGTACGAGTAATACCTCAAATGTATCAAAACTACCACGAATATGATGTAATGCTTGTTATACGCTGCAGTTCATAGATGATAGAGGATCCACTATCCAAACTCTACTGTTCACTCATGAAAACCAAAGGGAATTTGTTTATAAATGACGAAAGGAATCAAACCTTGGAAAGAGACGAGATATATAGTAGACCTTGGTATAAACAAATTCCAAATATACAAATTGATGTCTTTAAACCAATAAGTCAAAAATTTGTATGATATTGCAAATAAGTCCACCCCACCTCAAGAAGTTATATCTATTCAGAAGCCATATTGAAAAGTCTTAAGCCCTAACGATAATTATCAAGAATTGCAATGTGAACACTTGCCGTTACTTAACGAGATCAATCAAGAGGTCATGCACATGAAATTCGTTTTATCAGGACCTTGGAATCAGAAATACTAAAACTAGATTCACTCAAAAATTTATTCCGATTATGATTTTAAAAGACATTGATAAGAGCCAACGAGCTTACTAATGCGAGTAACCTTGGCAACCGAACACAAACTTTCTATTTCAAAACGAGGACAAAAACATTCATAACTGCATAAAATTGCAGACTAAATGTAAAAGAACAACGGCCCATCAAGAGAGATTTGAAATTATTTATCCAACGTAACCAAATTTTAATTTCTGCGGATATCGGCAGCGAAAACACATACAGTCCCAATTCGAGATATCACGAGGGAAACGATTGAGATGATTATTCCATTGTTAAACAATTATGAGAACCGTACCCCATTCTGCAATTATACTAAAACAAATTCATATAGAAATTTTACCTACCAGTCAACAAAAACCCACAAATCTAAATAATACGAGCTCGGATGAAAAAAAAAAACAATTTTTTTTATCAGATAATCGCAATTGAGAGAGGACTCACATGGAAGAATTCGAGCTGGTCTTCGAGATTCTCAAGCGCGGTTCGAATAGCGTACAAGCTCTTCGCCTCGCGGACCGCCTTCTCGTCGTCATCGACCCGGAACTCCTTCGCGAACACGAAACCCGGGCCGGTCTTGGCAGCCGGATCGTCGTCTGCGGATTTCCTCTTCCGGTGGACGTAGAATTCATCGGATTTCCGGGTCGGATTCTTGACGGAGTTGAGGAAATGGGCTCGGGAAATGGAGTGGATTGCGTCGCTGAGCTTATCGTGCAAATCCCATATCTTCTCGAGCACCGCTTCAATCTCGTCTACCTCCATCTCCCATTTCATTTGGGAGAGCAGTGAATTGAGAGAGAGATTGGTGGAGAAAGGGGGAAATCAGTTTGAGTGTTGGAGGAGGGAAAGTATAGTGGTAAAAAGGGGAAGAGAGAGAGTAAATTAGAGAGAGAAAAAGTTCTAGGGTTAGAGCAGAGTGTGTTGTGTGCCTAATTCGATTTACTGGAAATGGAAACGTGCAATTTGCACCGTGTAAACGCGTTTTCAGTACGAATTGGAAGAAACTGGAGGAGTTGGGACAAGAGAGGATGGGTGTGTTGATTGTGTGGGGACCGCTGTTCGGTTATTTAATAATATTTTAGCCTTGTTGGGCTTTTCTGTTCAATAACCAACGCACGTTTCGTTGGCAGAGGTTTGTTTCAGGTGTGTGACCAGGCAAATTCATTTTATATTTCGGATTTTTTTTATAATATAAGATAATTATTGGAGTTTATATCTGAATTAATTTTCTTTTTATTTCTGTCGATTTAGGCAAAAAAAAGTTTATTACTTTTTTTTGCACCATAGCAGTAATTGTTTTCAAAAGTTATATTATTGTGCTACACAGTAATATTAAATATTTTTTAATTTATTTGAACAACACACAATAATATTATTGTATCAAGTAGTAATATTATATTGTCCTGTTTGTAATTAATTTTAGTTTAAATACTAATATTACATATATACATATATATTAATTGAATACCACATCGAATTAAGTAATTAACAGTTTGGTAATCAACATGTACAAATTTTTGTTCGGTTCGATTCGATCGGTTTACTGATCGGACTTACACTCTTAGATAAATTTAACATCGTAAGGTGGACGTGTAAGTCAGTAAATACATAGTTGATAGATTATTGTAATTATGCAAATAAGAAATTTTTTTTTCGTAATTATACCTTACCTTAGGGGTGTCGGTAATTTACCCTTTAAAAAACGATAAATTACAACCAGCCCTGATGTAAAATATATTTATGAAAACCCCCAGATGTTTCCATAATTACATCCACCCCTTGCAATTTTAGATTTATATTATTAACGACCTCTCGTAGTAGACATGGCCACGGGGCGGGGCGGGTCCGGGTCTGGGTCGGACTTTTTGAGGACCCAAAACCGACCCACGGGGAGGTGGGTCCGGGTCCGGGTCCAAACCGGTTTTCGTCTTTTTTTGAATTTGAATTTGAATTTCCGGTTCGGGTCCGGATGGACCCGAGTTTATAGCCGTTGAAATTAAAAAAAAAAAAAAAAGAAATTTGAAATTTTCGGGTCGGGTCCGGGTGGACCCGAGTTTATAGCCGTTGTAATTTTAAAAAAAAAAATTTTGAATTCCCGGACCGGGTCCGGGCCGGGTCAGGTTCGGGTTCGGTTTTATAGCCGTTACATGTTTAAAAATTGAAAAAAAAAAAAAAATTATTCGGGTGAACCCGACGGGTCCTCGGATCCACCCGTCGGGTCTCGGGTCCTAAATATCGGGACCCGAAACCGACCCATACATTTTCGGGTCCGGGTCCGGGTCCATGCTCAATGGGGCGTTGGGCCGGGGCGGGTCCGGCCCGTGGCCATGTCTATCTCGTAGGGTGTGAACATAAGAAATTTATAAACTGCAGGGGGGGCTGGATGTAGTATCTAAAACAGAAGGGGTTTATTTTTGCAATTACACTTCACCTCAGGGACTTGTAATTTACACTAAGAACCTATAAATTCGAAATTTGTTCTAGTTCAACGAGGGTTTCACCTATCAAAAAGAAGACGCAGGGTTTCTCTCTTCTCTAAGATTTTATCCAGTTATTTTTACCGGCAAGACCTTTGATTTCTGAACTGGAACAGGCGAAAGCGGGAGAAAAAACCAAGATACCTCACAAGGTATTCTGTCAGTTTTTTTATTAGATTTTTAGTTTTATGGTTTTTGAGTTTGAGAATAGAATTGAAAGCTTTTGATTGATCGCTCGCGTATTATCCTTTTTTTCTGTTTCTGGATTTAGTATTGTATCAGATCCGTATCCGAATTCCAATACCAAAAGGCAAAAAGAAAGGGGGGGGGGGAGGGGGTTGCATCGTGAAATTAGGGTTCTTGTGTAATTTGGAAAAAAAATTGATTATTTGTTTGATGATTAGGTAGGTCTGGGAAATTGATTTAGAAGAATTCCGTCAGAGTCGGGGTTTCTTGTGCTACACATAGGTGGGGGTAATCATAATTCAATTTATGGCCGCTGGAAGGCATGGTGGTTTCCAAGACCTCAAATCGAGAGATGGTGATGATACGATCTCGAGGAAGAAAATTGGGTGTTTGAGAGGGGACTATGATCTGATTACGAAAGGGAGTCGATGCCGGGGTAGAGATAGTCTTGAGTACAGGAGTGAGGTAAGACAGAATGATATCGAAGAGAGGGATGAAATTGCAGTTCTTTCAATGGATCTGGAGCCTGGTGAGCTGTCTAGTGATGTGTCTGATGGGGCTATTGATTCGGAGGTAAAAATTCTAGAAATCGGGAGTCGGTTGTCTACTTTGCAGGATAAGAAGAGGAAGTTTTCGCCCATTGTTTGGGATAGAGGTGATGGGGCTGCTATCCGAACAGTTAAAAGTAGGAGTACTTCGGAAACTACAACCCCGCCACCACCTCCTTCACCTGAATCACACGACCAAGGGTTTCTTGATGCTGATGTAAAGACCTCGCCGGCAGATGCTTCCGAAATCAATAACGATGATTATGTGCCAGAACGAACTATATTATCTTCTCGTTGGGCGAATGATGAATCTGAGATTTCTGGGACCGAAGACAAGCAGAAGGTGAAGTGGAAGACGGGATCTGAGTTGGCTGCATTAGCTGGATGTAGGAAATCAGCAAGTCCCGAGCCTGGGGAAGTCGTAAGGGAAGGTTCTGAAGTAATTAAGGGTTCTCTTGGTACATCAGTGCCCACCGACGGACCACGGAAGAGTGTCGATATGCTTCAGGGTTGCAGAAGTGTTTACGAGTTTGAGAATCCTGAGAAGATAGATGAAGGAACCTATGGGACTGTTTATATGGCCAAGGATAACAAGACAGGAGAAACTGTTGCGTTGAAGAAGGTCAAGATGGATGCAGAAAAGGAAGGGTTTCCTGTGACTTCTCTCCGGGAAATAAATATTCTTCTATCTCTTCATCACCCCTCCATTGTGGATTTTAAGGAAGTGGTTGTAGGGAGCGAGATTGATAATGTTTACATGGTTATGGAGTACATGGAGCACGATCTTAAAGCATTTATGGAGATGATGATACGGCCGTATAGTCAAAGTGAAGTTAAATGTCTCATGCTTCAGCTCTTAGAGGGGATCAAGTATCTTCACGACAACTGGGTATTGCACCGAGATCTGAAAACTTCGAATTTGCTTTTAAATAACCGTGGCGAGTTAAAGATCTGTGACTTCGGTCTTTCTCGTCAATATGGAAGGCCTCTAAAACCATACACTCCGTTGGTAGTTACCTTGTGGTACAGGTTCGCATCTCTCCGTTCTCGTGTTTTCTTTTTTACTGTTTAAGGACACATGATCATGTAACGTTACAATGCATACATATTCATGCCATCGTGATTATTTGAAATTGGTAGATTGGTGTAACTGTGTTCCAGCCGTTCAGTCATTATATAGTTTTTATCAAATAACAAAAATTACGTGTTTGGTTGATTGTTAAAGCACTAAATACACATTGCATCCTCATTTCACTTCATTTAATATGTAAAACAAATGCTAAATAGTACATCTCAACTCTCAGGTCACCAGAACTTCTTTTGGGAGCCAAAGAATATTCTACAGCAATTGATATGTGGTCACTAGGATGCATTATGGCTGAGCTTTTAACAAAAAAACCGTTATTTAATGGGGATTCAGAGATTGATCAGCTTCGCAAGGTGAGTATGCCGTGCTCCATAGTTATCTTTGTTACGAATTATTTGTTTTTTTAAGCCAATTGCAAGTATTTGGTTGTAATTACTTTACTTTGACGGTTATGCTGCAGATCTACAAGATTCTTGGCACTCCAAATGAGACAATCTGGCCTGGGCTCTCTAAACTCCCTGGTGTCAACGCGAATCTCGGCAATCACAAGTAAGTAGTCATATCTTTTATTTTCAATTCTTTCAAAATTAGCCTCCAAAATTAATCTTCTCTTTTTCCTGCCACTGTTTTCCCAGGCGTCCAGCTTTGGGTGATTCTGGTCTGGCGTTTCTTACCTCCTTCGGTTAGAGTGTCGGTTTCCAAAGATATGCTATTGCCTCTAACGAGTGGCATATTTTTTTTCAGGTACAACCTGTTGCGCGAGGTATTTCAAGCAATTGCTCTTAATAGGTTACCTGTAACTATACCATCCGACGCTGGATTCGACCTGTTGAACAAGCTTCTAACTTATGACCCTGAGAAGGTACTCTTATAGACAGTCACATGTATTTATTTCATTGCTTCAAATGATTGAATTTGCTGTACAATTGAGTATCTAAGTAAGAAAATTGGAATATTTGCAGCGGATAACTGCCGAAGCGGCTCTCAGACATGAATGGTTCCGCGAAGTTCCCTTACCTAAGTCCAAGGAATTCATGCCCACTTTTCCTGCTGAGAATGAACAAGACAGGTAGTTAGTTGCCCCTGGAAAATGAGTTTTCTGTATCGTATGGTTTTAGAGTTTATAATGTTAAAGTTCAATTGTTTTATTTGTCAGGCGTCGAAGAAGAGAAATGAAGAGCCGTGACCCGTTAGAAGAGCAAAGGAGGAAGGAATTACAACGAGGAAAACTAGGCACTGGTGGTTTATTTGGCAATTTTTGAGATACAAATGCCTTTTAGATATATAAGTTACGAAAACCTTTTGTGGATGTTTTCAGTATGTTAACTATCGATCATTGAACAATATTAAGCTCTGGAGCAGCAATCAATTCCTAAGAGAAGAAAACTGTACCTCTTTACGCGTTCACTTTAGTAGTATTTGAAAGTATTTGTTGACATCATAATATCAGATGTGAATCCCGAAATTTCATAAGCTAGACTTGTGCCTTATTAAGCTGATATTTTTTCTTCTTCCATATTTACCCTTTGTTCAGTAAATTCCTTGTTATATTTCTGCCAACATGACTTAGTGGGATATTATTTCTTGATCATTCTTTATTCTCTATAAGCCTTCTTGAAGAAAGCTGGATTATTGAACCTATGTATTCGCTTGCCTGTTATCTTTGTAATCCTGTTACTTTAATACTGTGAGGCATTGGTTTTAATGACATTCGTGTGAAATGTCGCTGCAGTATCCAAGCAAGCAGGTTGAGGAGCTTGCTTAGACAAGTCGGCCCTTGTAAAATTCTTTCGATTCTACATTTTTGTCTGCTGAAGCTCAAGAGGTACACTTCAGCCCTTGTTGTACTGTTTAATTGATTTCCATGTACGATCTTTGTTGATTGTTGGTATATTTGTTGTCGTGAAGTATGTTCTACGTCATCAATACGCTATTTCTTGATCTGGCAGACAGAAATTCTCTCTTTCTTCTTCTTCGTAAAGCCACTTCTGCTGACTAGAGCTAACTTAGGTTCTTGGGGTTGCAGTAAAGCACATTTGGTGTCGATAAATAGGTGTAGATTGCACAGCTGTGATGGTGTATTGTGTGCAATCTTTTCTACATATCAGGAAATAATTTATCTTCTCATTTCAATTTTTTTTATTCAAGTTTTTGATGATTTGACTTCAGTAAGTCATTTGGCAGATTAGATGTTATCCATGCTTGGTTTGTAGAATCTTGCAAACAACCCATTTCTTGCCAAATCGAAAACATTTGTCGACGCCCCACGCCGGCGGACGTCTTCAACTGCGCTACCAGAGAGCCAAGAGCTGAAGGAATTCATGGAATACAGGGAAAAACTCAACGACTACGAAAAAAACCAGCGTTCCGAAAGGCTTCATTCCTTACTTTGATTTCATTTTGTGCTTATTATGTCTTCTCATCATTTGGGCCTGTCCAAAAAATTGCCATGTTCGATAAAAACGGGCATCTTATAGCTTTGATTCAGTACACACTGGTAAGATGAAATCGACCAATTGTACATCTACTTGTTCAAAATCACGATTCACATTCAATGTGCTAAAAAAATCATCTATTAATTTAGAAGTTTTATATTAGCCACGGACAACTCAATTGACGTGCAGATGTCGAGACAGCTGTTGTTGCAAAGGAAGCCTTGGAAGGACACTGCATATATGATGGTGGTTACTGCAAGCTTTGTATATCGTATTCTCGACACACTGATCTCAGCAGCATATAGGTGAGAACTTTTAGAATGTCAAGTTGAAAATACAAAATTCGTATGATCCATGAACTAAACATTATTGTATTTATCAGGTTAATAACGATAAGAGCAGCGACTTGAATATATTTACGGGTTTTTTCCATGGATGGGGTGTTGTGTATTCTCAGCTTCGCTTGTTTGGGTACATACCCAAAAAGATGAAATTCTCCACTTGTCATTGTTATGAAAGATAATTTTATTAATAATGGGAAATTCTTAATAATAGTTCATGTATTTAGGAAAATTTGAAATACATGTATATAGACAACATACTCGTCTTTTATTTTATTTCATCACACAAACAAATATGCAAAATAGAGCATTAGCTAACATGCCCAGAATTATGCAATTGCAGACGAAAATATATCCAAAAGATTTCGTGGATTTGGTACTAATACTTCTTCGATTCATCTTCCCAATTTTCAGGCCGGTCATCCGTCCTTTTCTCGGCCACCTGGGGCGGCTCGTCGTAGCCACCATCTTCACCGGAGATCTCCTCCAAAGACCTCCCCTTTGTTTCCGTCACCAGAAACGTGAAGAAAAATCCCAGAATATTCGTAAATGACAAGAGCATCATCGCCTTCTTGATCTTCCCCACATCCCCATCCTGCGTGAAGTACTGTATCCCGAACGCGCCGATCATCGCCCCGGCCTTCCCGGAGGCGGCGCTGAAAGCGTGGCAGGTCGACCTCAGCCTCGTCGGAAAGAGCTCAGCCGGCAGGACGAACGTCGTGCTGTTCGGGCCGAAGTTCGCGAAGAAGAAAGTCAGCCCGTAGAGTGCCGCGAACGTCCACTTGTGGTTGGTGTTCCTGAGGTAGTCGTACTTCACCCCCATTATCAGCATGAAAACCGACATCATGAAGAAGCCGACCAACTGTATGTAAAAACGCCCGATCTTCTCAATGAAGGCAACCGTGAACCAATACCCCGGAAAAGTGCCCAGTAAAGCAATCACGAACATAGCCCGCGAAGTCTCGAACATCTCCCTTAGAGCGCTCACGTTTTCAGGCTTGTTCGTCAGCCCCATTGTCGGAAAAATATCTTTCTGTGTGAGGTTCTGGCTGTAAAAAGCAATGTCTAATAGAAACCAAGTGGTCATTGTACCGATCAGATGCCGCCCGTGCCGCCTGAAGAACTCGTGCGAGAAAAGCTTATACTCGTTCGCCGAATTGAACTGCGATAGCTTGTCTTGATCGGCCTGTATTTCGATATCAAGAACCTTCCCCATATCCGCAGCAGCTTGCTTCGCGTTGCCCTCGATCAAAGCAGTGTACCGCCCTGTTTCTGGCATTTTCATCCTCCAATAGTACGTGAGCAAGCCCGGTAGTGCACCGAGCATCAGTATAATCCTCCACACATAATCCGCCTCAGGCTCGGTCGAGAAAACGGGATCACTTGAAAAAGATGGGCCCGCATAAAAATCAAGGAAGATCTTCGACATGATCATCGAAACTAGCCCAGCAAAGACTATCCCCACTCCCTGCATGGCAAAAACGGCCGCAATAAACGCACCGCGAGTCTTCTTATTCGCGTACTCCGACATGATAGTGGCGGAGAGGGGATAATCGCCCCCGATGCCGAATCCGAGCCAGAATCGGAAGAAGCAAAGTGTTCCCATAACTGCTTTGGGGCTGCTACCCAAAGATAGACCCGAGCAGATTGCACATATGACCATGAGGATTAATGTGATGCCGTAGACTTTTTTGCGGCCCAATTTGTCGCCCAAGTAGCCGAAGACTAGCTGGCCAGCTAGGGTTCCGACAAGGGCGACGCCTATGACGAGGTTGTTGATGCTGTGGGGGAGCTTCCCGGGCTTGCCGGTGGTGGGGTTGTAGTAGTAGAGGCGGCCGAGGAGTTTGGACACAGTGGAGATGCAGAAGAGGTCGTACGCGTCGGTGAAGAAGCCCATTCCCGCTATCACTATCGCCGTCACGTGGTACCATTGCGTCCGGGCGTTGTCGAGCGCGTTCAGCACCGAGATGCTGTTTGATGCCATTGAAGTTTTCTTTTTTCTTTTTTCTTTTTTAACTCTTGTTTGATCTTGTTTCTTGTTTGTTCTTATAATATATCAAGACTGTGTGCTGTGTGTGTGTATATATATATATATATATTGGAGAAAGAAACTAGGGAGATGAATTGTGTCGTTTGGACCGAGGTTTCGAAAACAAGAAATTGATGGGTGTGGTATATATATAGCATATACTTTTGCATACGGCATAGTAGAAATCAAGATATGCTTATAATCCATCAATTTATCTATGATTTTGAAAGAGTGACAGTGATATCTTAGCTAGGTTTAAATTTTGTTCTTTAGTTGTGTCCTCATATGATTATGTTACTATGTTTTTGCTGTCTTGGAATATATATATATATTCGTAACTATCGATGGATTGATTGTTCGTCAATGTGGAACTAAAACAAATGTTAGTTCAATGGAGTGAAAAGAAAATTTTACCAAGGGTATCCCGCACACTTGGTAAATCCACCTCTCGTACAATAGTCGGTAAATTACACTGGGATTTCAATGAATCGAATTCAAATTATCAAACATTCGTGTTTTCGTAAGTCCGTATATTAAACTAGGCAACCTGGCTATGAAGTAATTTGCATAAGTCTATATTTGTGGCTATGATTTCTTATTACCGCATGATCATTATCTAATCGAAACCATTTGGTTCGGGTCTGATCTTCCACATTGTAAGATGGTGTTTGACTAAATTTATAAGATGTTAAAAGTAGCTTATAAGATGTTTTAGAGCTTATATGCTATTCCAAAGTGTTTGGTAATTCTTTTTTTAAAATAAACTGCTGGAGAGCAAATAATTTTTTTTTTTAAATATATCCTCCCCACCTTTTTATTTAAGAGTGCGTTTGGATGGAAGGATTTGGGGAGGGATTTGATTTGGGGAAGGGATTTGAAATGACTCCAATTTTGGAGTCATTTGAAATCCACCTCAATTGCTCAAAACATAACTAAAAAGGAGGGGTGTGGATTTGAAATCCATCCCCAAATCCCTCAATCCAAACAAGTCCAAGGGATTTGTTATTATAGATTTGAAATCACTTCCACAAATCCTTCCATCCAAATGCACCCTAAGATCTTATAATGAGTAATAATAAGAAATAAGTTCATTATCCAAACATTCTAAAATTTAATCCTAAAAATAAGACCTTTATCAGCCGTATGGGTAGTTCCATTTTGTTGTCCAAATGGGTCGTAAATCCATTCCAAACTTAACTAAAATTATTATTTAGAATCTTTAGGGTTTAGGGTTTATGAAGTTTTTTTCTTCTTTGGGTTGCTATATATGCTATGCATAGAGATTGTGTAACAAAGACCACATAAAATAGATGCTCTTCACAAATAGGTATTCAAAACATTTTGAAGAGGGAAAAGTTGTGTCAATTCTATTACGAAGGCGCTGTAAAAATAACGTACGCTCGGCCAATTTGGATTTCAAGTTTAAATCCACAACATACACAAAAAATTATAGGATGTCTATAAATAATTAAATATACATTACAATATTCATAAAAATATTGATTTCTGTTAAATATATTAAATTTTTATTTTTTTCTTCTAAATATAAGTCGTTTAATAGGAGAAAAAGGACAACAAAGAAAAGAAAAAAAAGTTACTTTCGCCTTTTCTAAAAAAAAAAAAAGAAAAAAAAAAGCAAAGGAAAATTGTTAAGTAGCCCTAATAAGTCGAGGTGGCAGACTTGGGTACGAGAGACTTCTATCTCTCTCTCTCTTCTTCTTCTCTCTCTTCTCTCTCTCTCTCTCTCTAAGTGGTGGAGTTTCCTTCTCTCCAAGGAACCCGGAAATCAACTGGTTCAACTTTTCTACACCAGAAATTCAACGGAAAACACAAGCTACCCAATCATCAAATAACAAGAGCTATGCTTGTTACTTATGGCGCTAGTGGCCTTTGAATCAGCTTCGATCATCGTAAGACTTTTTTTCTTTTTTTTTTTTTTCCCCTAATTTGGTTGGCAAGTAAAGCTTTAATTCTACGCGTTGTTCTAGGGCAAGTTGTCTTTTATTTATATTTGTTTATTATTAAACGGCTAGGAAACTTTGAACAACGAAGTTGTTATTCATGTTGGTTTGGGAATTTTTTTTTTCTCTTTCGCCCTTAGATGTTTGATTTATTACCCCAAAAGAGAAAAAAAAAATTAATTAATTTTGGAGACGTATATGAGTTAAACGCTCGTGAATAATTAATTGCGAGAATTGTGTGTTTAATCGTAGTGGGGAACTTGTTGGGAAAAGGTCTGAAATTTGTGGAATTGATAATTGCAGGTTGATTGATTCCTACTTGGGATGCGAGATTAAATATTTTATTTGGGGAAAAGGTGATTTTTTGTTTTCTTTCTAAAGAGACGATGGCAGAAGCGCTGAAGCAGCAGTCTGCAAATTCATGGATGCCGACAGCCGAGCAGTCTTCGAGAATGGCTGAATTCGATAAAAACGTGTCTTTGATGTCTGAATCTATGGTGATTGTTGACGGAATTGAATCATCGGAAATCTCACAGACTCGGGGCAACCATTTGGATGTCTCTTCTGGTGGCAAATTAGGGTTGCCCGAGCGCGCATTTTCTGCAGCTGGTGCGGCTTTTCTATCCGCTATTTTGGTCAACCCACTCGATGTGGTTAAGGTACATGTTTATTTTTGGTAATTTCGATTATTGAATTATTTACTTTCTTCAAATTCGACTAATTCACCCGTCGTTACTTTCAGAAAGTCCATGAATACGAGCAATACCATCGCCTACTTGATTTATTTAGTGTCATTTTTTGACTTTGTAAGGATTTATTTGGATGTTCCGTTTGTGCTCATGTGGCTTTATGTAGGCTGAAATGGTTGATATTTGCTAGTGAGGGTGTTTGAGTAATTGGCCAAATTGACTATCTTCATTTCTTAATTTAATGAGTTACAGATTAATTGGCCATTCTGTCTAACTATTGTATCTAATATACTTGACTTTATGGGATAGTGTTCGTATTGGTCTAACTATTTAGATATGCTGTCACTAACCTCTTATTTTATTCCTCCTCCTGGTATTTTCCGGTGCCGACAGAAATTTTTACTTCTATAAGTTCCTTTTCTTATGTTGTTTCTGATGATTCCCCTGTTTGTATTACATTCCAGACAAGGTTGCAGGCACAAGCTGCAGGAGTCGCTTACTCTCATCCATTGAGTAATCTAACCAGTCGCATGGCATTTTTTGGACCACATATGGTACACGCCTATAGTTTTTGCTGCCATCCTTTTAGATTTTTCTTTCATATGATTGCTTTATCTCGTCAGTCACATTCTAACTATCAGAAATATTACATCAATCCACTATTTGGTATAGTAACTTTTTATACCGAAAATGAATTTCAGGTTCTGTGCGATTTACAAGATATCTAGTGCTTAGTTGATTATGTGTAGGCTTTTGGTAGCTTGGTGGTATCGTATTAAAATTCGCAGTTTATTTTTGCTTTTGGTAACAATGCCAACATGATGTTTTTTTAATCCGTTATGCGTGCCATGATTCCCCTTAGTGCTTGATTGATTATTCACTTGAAGTAAATAATGCTGCACCACACGTTGTCTTGATATAATTTGTACTCTGTTATAGGGACTAGTTTAACATAAAATCTCAAACCCAAGAGTACAATTTTGTTTTGCATTTGGGAATTGCAAGGCTGAACAAATTGGAAACTGAAGTGGCATAGTAGATTACTGATGTTCCGAGAGGATGTTCGCCTTCACCATTACCTATTTTAACCCCAAAGGGTCTAGATATCAAATTGTAGTTCATAAGCTCTGATGAGGTTGTAGTTGTAAATAACTTTCCCTTACCTATAAAATTTGTTGCTAGATGTTTGCTGATCTGAGATGTTCGCCCTCGTGTACACGTGCTGGAGTTCATGGCACAGTAGCAATTTGCCCGCCTGATTGTTTCCATTACAAGGGAACGCTGGATGTTTTCTACAAAATTATTCGACAGGTTTGTAAATGATAGTTTTAACTTTTAGACATACTTCATTGTTTATCATTTTAAGCTCATTTTTACTTGTGCTCTGTATTCCACTGAAAACTCCCGCACAAAATTATTTGGAGGCATAAACAAGTTGTGCATAGGGTACAAATGAGTCGAGCCGTCTCTTGAGTTTTTTCTATTTTTTTTATTTTTACTATGTATGTAAGTCATGTATAATTAAAATAAAGAATAATAATAATAATATATAACTATATATACATAACAAATTAAAATTTCAACTCATTTTTATTTTTTATATAAATAATATATTATAATAATAATGATGATGATGATAATAATAATAATATTGTTGTTTTGGAATTATTCTTGTATATTTTTCAGGAAGGATTTACTGCGCTCTGGAGAGGAACAAATGCTGGCTTAGCACTTGCAATGCCCACTGTACGTGTTGATTTGGTTACTGTTGAAAATTTCAAGCATTTGCGCACATCATTTTTATTGTGCATGATTTTCGAAACGAATTTCTGTTCTCAATCATAAATAACGATAATCAATGGTTTTCAAACAGGTTGGTATTTACTTGCCTTGCTATGATATTTTCTGCCACCGGTTAGAGGAATTTACCACAAAGAATGCTCCAGGGTTAACACCTTATGCACCTTTAGTCGCTGGTTCGCTGGCACGATCCTTAGCATGCACAAGTTGCTATCCAATTGAGCTTGCGAGAACACGTATGCAGGTATTTAATATGTCGACCACACTGCGATGAAGCTCCTTTCTTGTCGTGCGTCAATTTCTTTACACTATCTATTATGTTTATCCACCATTCAGGCATTTAAGCATGCACACGGCGATAGAAGGCCAGGAGTCTTGAAGACTTTAATCGATGTTATTTCCCAGGTCAAGAGTACAAGCAACTTCAGTAACAGCAGTGAGTCGATTCTCCTCCTAATCTTAGCGATTTTTTTTTTTTTTTTTTTTTTTCTGGTTGCAAAATAAATCACTATTTTGGTTTCACCATAGATTCTACGTTTTTTTAATTGTTTCCATTATTTATGTTTGGACATCTCCTTTTATGTTTTATGGTGCAGCGCCAAGCTATCGTGCCTTATGGACAGGCCTGGGATCTCAGCTTGCACGTGATGTTCCTTTCTCGGCAATCTGCTGGTCAACCCTTGAACCGGTGAGGAGTGCTCCTTGACCTATTTCTTGTACATTTGGAGCTGTGCACATATTTTTCCGTAATTAAATTCTTAATTTTTTAATCCACAAATATGTCATAGGTAAGGAGGCGGCTCCTAGGTCTGGCTGGAGATGAAACAAACGCATTAAGTGTCTTGGGTGCAAATTTTTCGGCCGGTTTTATTGCAGGTAGCCTTGCTGCCGCTGCTACATGTCCACTTGATGTTGCCAAGACTCGTAAACAAATCGAGGTAATTCTTGTCTTCAAACAATTATGTCACAGAATCGTCATAGGTTGTAATTGATTAAATGTATATTTTTTTGTAATTTATTACGGTCATATTTAGTTTCGAACTCGAGTCATCATGGTTGGCTTTTTTTTTTTCATTTTGCAGAAAGATCCTGCGAGGGCATTGAAGATGACTACGAGACACACACTCCTTGAAGTTTGGAGGTACGTATATCTCCATTGATAACACCGTTTAAAAGAAATCGTACTTGTAATAAAATTGATTCGGCTTATCGATTGTCTGAAATTGGACCGGTAATAATATTTGACAGGGATGGAGGGATGAAGGGCTTGTTTACTGGCGTTGGGCCCCGCGTTGGGCGTGCAGGTCCTTCCGTTGGGATTGTGATTTCATTTTACGAAGTTGTGAAGCATGTTCTACATCATCAGTACGCTATTTCTTGATCTGGCGGAGATAAATTCTCTCTCGTTCTTCTTCGATAGAAAGCCACTTTTGCTGACTAGAGCTAACTTAGGTTGCTGTAAAGCACATTTTGGTGTCGATAAATAGGTGTATAGATTGCACAGTTTTGATGGTGTATTGTGTGCAATCTTTTCTACATATCAGGAAAATAATTTCTCTTCTCTTCTCATTGAATTTTGTTTTTGATTCAAGTTTTGATGAAATGACTTGAGTCTGTAATTGAGAAGAGACTTCTTTTTATTTTATTTTATTTTAGTTATGTAAGTCATTTTGGCTTATTAGAATGTTATGCACACTTGTGTTTGTGGATTCTTGTAGACATACAGCATGTATATGTGCAGTTTTTATTTTTGATTTTATTGAACGCTAGTCTCTAGACTAGCTCACTCACGAGACGGTTGACGAGTAGGATTCATCGAGATGCTTAGTCGCAATTGTATGACAACATTTAATGCAAGTTCCGACAGATTTTTGGTTCTCATAATGTTTTCTACTTTATCATATCAAATGAAATTGAAACGGAATCTGAATTCCGGAGATGTTTTTAGTGACATAATTTGACAGATTAAAACGAGTTGAAGTCTAGACTCTGACTATAAATACGGTCTATTCTATATAGATTAACGGTAACGGTATAAAAAGTGTAGTACAAGAGCACATTCCTTTAGAAAAATCACTAACTTGGTCGCCTGAGTGCTAACGCTGCCTGAAGAATTAAATTTAAACTATCAGTTAATATTTTTTGTTAAAATATTTAAAAAAATATCAATAATATTGGAAATTAGTAAAGTAGTTAAATATTAATTATCCAATATTATGAATTAAGGTAGTACTTTTCATTTTCTCCCTCCAACCCCTACTATTCATATTTCATACTCATCCTTTTCCACAGATTTGCCTTTTGCTTTCTCTGGAGATGAAAATTCGCAGCATTGTACGTTTACTCACAGCTCTCCCACACAGCAGACAAAGAAACCCTATCGTTGCTGCTAAATCCATGACATTTCTCGACGCCCCACGGCGGGCCTTTTCAACTGCGCTACCAGAGAGCCAAGAGCTGAAGGAATTCACGGATTACATGGAGAAACTCAACAACTACGAAAAAACCGGCGTTCCTAAAGGCGCCGGCACCGATTCCGACGACGGATTCGATTTAGGTAGAATGAGGAGATTACTGCACAATCTCGGCAATCCCCAGTCCAAATTCAAGGTCAGATTTATCAATTTTTCCCCCTCAATTACATGTTCGCAATTTGTTTGATTTGTGCATATTTATTATCAATTCGAGTTGCTTACTGGTGTAAACACTGTGCCAGTACCGATTATGTTTTTAATAATTATAATTGTAATCAATCAGCCAGTGATTTTAGCTTCTGGTGTAATAGCTTTTACTCATCAATGCCTGCCTGCATGTGGTCTTTGGTTTTCTTGCTTAGAATATGAATCGGGTAAACCGGCAATGATTATTTATAGGCTGTACATATTTCTGGTACGAAAGGGAAAGGATCCACTGCTGCATTTCTTTCCAGCATTTTACGCGCGGAAGGGTTCTCTGTTGGTTGCTATTCGAGGTATGGTCTGTAATTCTTGTTTAAGGCTATGTTGATTTCAGAATCACGAGGCTTCGTTTATCACGACCTACAAACTCGACTGCTTACTGTATACATTTTACATAATAATTTTGACCTAACGATTTATGTATTTTTTTTTTTGAAAAGTCCACATATTCGAACTATTAGAGAGCGTATAACACTGGGACCAGGTGGGGAGCCGGTTTCAGCAAAGGCTTTGAGTTCTCATTTCCTCAAAATAAAGGAGCTTATTGACATGACTGTAGAACTTGAAGAAGGGCAGCTAACTCAGTTTGAGGTATACTTGTCGTAGGCAGATTATTGTGTTGACTTTGATTATTTTAATTGAATCTGACTATGGTGCTTTTTCTTTGAAATCAAGATTCTAACCGCTGTAGCGTTCAGCCTATTTGCTGAAGAGAAGGTTCATTTTGCAGTTATTGAGGTACCTTTTAACAGACTAATTCAGGTTCCTGTTTTCGTCTTCTAATAATTGAATCTTTATAACAAAAATTATATGTTTTATTTCATATATCAATGTCACAATTCTATTTTGTTTGGTAGATTGCACTGTGTGTAAATTAACTGCGTATCACTTTTTGACCAATTCATTTTTTGTTTTTGTTTCGTCTTTTGTAATACAATCTATAGGCTGGATTAGGTGGAGCTCGGGATGCAACTAATGTACTTACTAGTTCCGATCTGGCTGCGTCTATAATTACAAATATAGGTACAGATCATCTAGCTGCACTTGGTGGCTCTTTGGAGAGTATTGCAGTGGCTAAATCGGGAATAATCAAAGAACAGCGTCCAGTTAGGTGGTTCTTCATAGATATATTGTGTACTTCAGAATCTCCTCATAAAATATATTAAATTCAAATTGTGAACTTCAATTCAAACGATTAAAAATTAGAGAAACTTTGGATGGGGAAAGATTATATACGCCTTCGTCAATACTTCAATACCATGTATTGACGTATATTTGTTTTTTTGCAACATATTATAAAGATAAGAACTAACATGTGCAGTTCTGATAAATTGATTAAAATATTTCAGCTGGTTCTAGGCGGTCCATTTCTTCCACATATTGAACGTATTATTCGTGACAAGGCATTATCTATGCGTTCACCTGTAATATCAGCATCTGATCCTGGAAATAGAAGTGTTCTCAAAGGTTTTTCAACAGCATGTGATATGCCCCGCCAATTATGTGATATTCTGCTCCTAATCGAGAGGGACCTGCAATTGGTATGTGAATTTAATGCCTTTTATAATTTGATTCCTTGAACTCCGATAAATTTATTATTGAATTTCATATTGCATAATTTAATACGAATCTTTCCATCTACAGTTCATTGAGTTGTTTGATGTACAATTACGCCTTCTTGGCTCTCACCAGCTTCAGAACGCTGCTACTGCTACCTGTGCAGCACTTTGCCTTCGTGGTCAAGGTGTGGGAAAATAGTACTGGTTATTATTCTCTTTCACTTTCCAATTTGAGCATTTCTATAAATTTTAAATAATGTCTCTTCATAAATTTAACGAATTTTGTAGGATGGAAATTATCGGAGAGATCTATACGTGTTGGTTTAGAATGTGCATGTTTGCTCGGTAGAAGCCAATTTTTAACATCCAAGGAAGCCGAGATGCTAGGGTTTCCCGGAGCAACTATACTGCTTGATGGAGGTTTGATTTGCAAATGTTTTAATATATCTTTTATTTATTTTTTTGTGACTTCTACATAGGTTAATTTCCCTTAGGACAGATTCGTGCTAGATGTTTGATTTAATTATTATTTTCAGCTCACACCAAAGAATCTGCACAAGCTTTGTTAACCATGATTAAGATGGCATTTCCCGAGTCAAGATTGGTTCTTGTGGTGGCTATGGCCAATGATAAAGATCATTTAGGTTTTGCGAGAGTGCTACTTTCGGGTAACTCTCTGTTTTGGCCTGTGTATGCTTTTATTATTACTGTTACGCCTCGTTTGGTTTGCCAAGATACGGTTAACCAAAACAAGATTAACTATTTTATAAAAACCCATTTGTATAATTCTATAATCTGTATCTTTATACAGCTGGATGTCTCGAAGCTGTATGTTTAACCGAAATTGATATTGCTGGAGAAAGATTCCGTACGACTTCATCATCCTCGTTAAAAGAATCTTGGATTCAAGCATGTGGAGAAAATGGTGCTGATTTTCTTGAATGCAAAACGGTCAAAGATGAATTGATTGAGCGTCGTTGTACTAAATCAATTTTATTCATGGAGGGTTCGTTAATGGCTTCGATTAAATTCGGAAATCACATCCTCACTGCAAAATCTGGATCCAAAAATGGGATAATTGTAGTTACTGGATCTTTGCATATTGTTTCGGCTGTTTTAGGTTCACTCGAAGGATAAGCGAATATTTGCTATTCGCTCTTTAACGAAATTTTTGTTTTTATATTTGTTGTAAAACCTTGACTGTAAATTTTTGGTTATTGGTTTACGGAATAGGTTAAGGTAACAATTTGTTCGATTATCGTCAACACATTATAAGGTATCTTATTCTTTTCTAGTTTTCTTCATAAACGTCTCATCTTTGGCACTAAACTGTTAAGACGTCAATTTATGGTTCCAAACTAAATAATAACTGAATCGTGGCATGTTTGGTCCTTTGGTCTAGCATTGGATTCTAAAAGCTTGGCTAAAGTATCAGTACAGCATTTTGCTTGTAAGAATCATTACATAATCGTGTGTTTATTGTACAGGTGGGGACACTTTTGTACTTCTGCCTAGAGTCTACTGTTTTCCATTTTGTTATTTACGGGTTTCTGCATTTACCAGGTATGCTTTCAATAATTTGCACTGTTCCTACCTAATTTTTAAAGATAATTACTTTTCACTCTCTTATTGCCGATAATCCTTACAGCAATTCTTACTTCTCTCTGACTTAGAAGATTAATTTCTCAACCTTGCGATTGTAACATTTATGCGACGGAATGGCATGGAGTCACTTTCTAGATGTCAAACCAACGTACATTTTTGGGTAATGATTTGGTGTTTGGTGCCATTCAAAATTTTGATTTGGTAAGGTTTACCCGATCGATGCTTATCCGTTAAATGAATAGTCGAATAGTTTTTTATGCTACATGGTGCAATTGGAATATACTACTGAAATTTTATTTTTTCTACCAATAAAACATGAACATATATGGTCACACATATTATAATTCCACAATAACTACAACTCATTATGGCTATACATACCCATTCAATAAACTAACTAACGGAAAATTCTCTATTTATGCAAGGGAAAATTCTTTTGTCGTCTTCAGATTTTTTTGAACAAATTAAATATTTCGAGAAATGAAGCCAATTGGTCATTTTTCTCATTTTGCAAGACACATATGAATCATATTTATTTCATTTCCCCTTAAAAAAGCTGATTTGGATGAAAGTATTTAGCCAAAGATTTCTTTCTTGGTTCTTGGTCTTTCTGTAATTTCCCCATGGATTCTTACCCTAATCATCTTTCTTTTACCGACTTTCGAATGGAAATGACTGTTTCAGTTTGCATGACATTAGTTACATTTAAGTTTGATGTAAAATACAGCATCCCTTCTTCTTTTACCATTATATATATGCTGTCGTATGTAACGTGTTTTTTTTAATATATGTTTGTCCATGTATATCGAAATTTTGTGGAGCAGTAAAAGGGGGGATGCATCAATACCTGCTGCAATGTAAGATGGTGACTTCACATCTAAACGGGCCATGTAAAATCTATTTAGCAATCAAGGAGGTGGGCCCCACCATCAAAGGCTTCTTCTGATCAGGCAAGCATGTAGTCACCGGACACCCGCTCCAAAGCCTCGATTTTTGTTACCGGCCGTTTCAAACAAACAACGTAGTAAGTTTTCAAATGAGGTAAAGTCGTTAAAACACATGGTAAATTTTGTTGTCCTGCATGCAGTAATGGTGTTTCCGTCATACATTTTTGTGGGGCCCGCCGCCTTTAATGGTGTTTTTTTTTTCGTCAGACTGTGTAAATGAGTTAAAGACTGGAGAGGGAAATCCACCTACCTTATTTACTTGAGTTTTCTGTTAGAATTTTTGTCCTACATAAGTATTAAATCTATTTGCACAGTCCAGAAAATAATTAGAAATATATATTTGCCCTAAAATTTGGAAAAAAATAAATTATAGAATAATCTGATTCTAGGTAATATATTTTTGCACACACACTACACATGTATACATGCTGTTTATATGTATTATGTGCACGCACAGACACAGTACACCATTTACTTGGTGTGGTATACAATACCACAGCCTGTATCTGTATGTATGTATGTAATATATACACATGTATATATGGTACAGTACAGGAAAAAAGAAGTAAATGCAATTAAATATACAATGAAAGAAGTGATGATTTTTTTTCATTCAGAACGCACTCCCATGCAGTAGTAGTACAATTACTAGTATTAAGTAATGTCTGTCGACGAATGCTGATTCCACGACACACACACAATGGTGGTGTTTTGTGTAAAGAAGAGTAAATGTTGAAAATTAATTGCAGAAAAATAAATAAATAAATAGGCACGGAGATACCGTGTCTGTGTGGCTGCGCATTGAAAGCCTTGTTCTTGAACCCTCCTTTCTTCACAGGCACAACTTGCTCCTCTTTCTATTTTCCGTAAGCCCCCTTCTCTGCTCTTCTTTATTTATTACCTTCGTCCCCACCCCCATTCTACATATGCATATACATACATGCATACATATATCGGATTTTACTTGTATATTGTCATTTTACTCGTTTACTCGCTCGGTTACCTATATCGGATTTGTTTGGATTAGGTGAGATTAGATTAATTATCTACTGACCAATTAATTATTTAGTTAGTTAGACGTTCGGTTCATTAGATTCGTTTTTGTTAAAGATCTGTTAAATTATGGTATTATGTGTGATTTGTTTATAAAATCTTTTATATAATAACATTAACACGTAGTTTGAAGGATAAAATAGTATTTTACTTGTTTAGTCACTCCTATTAAATTAATATTGGGGGTCTACTAATTTAATAAAATAATAGTATTTGATATTGGACTTTGATTTTAGTAGCATGCTAGAAAAAGTGTGAATCTTGCCAACCGAACGTGTTATTAACCCCCATTATTTAGTCAGTAGAACCTTATAGCGATAACCAACGAGCCCTACAATCTACTAGATCTTGAACTTTGCTCAACTTGATTTATTTTCTGTGATCGTAGATCATGCGGGATTTAATTTGTCTCTATTGATGAAATGCAAATTGATTAAATATATGTTCATTAAATGATATATAGCTTATATGAATAAATGAGTTCGTTAGGCTAGTTTAGTTGATACATTGATTAACGACCCAAATTCTATGCTTATTGCCAATAATTTCTAAGTTGAGTTCGTCGCTTGTGGTTTCTCGGTTGCAATTTACACCTCTCATGTGGTTTGTGGGCTATTGTGCGATATTTTAGTTTCTTTATCATATATATATATATATATATATATATATATATATATATATGAACTTTAAAGTCTTTCTTGAATACCAAACACAGGACAAAACTGCAAACTAAATCCTAAATTTAGTAATTACTGCTATTTTTTTGTATTTATTTTTTAAATTCCAAGTTGCCTCACAACATTAATTATCAATTCAGAATTGGCATTCATCACACACTGCCAATTAAATATTGTGCACTTTGAATGTTGTAAAGTTGATAAGAATTTTAATAATACCAAGGAACAAAAGGTACATGCAGTTATGCATTTAGGTCCTAAAAGGATAATTAAATAATAATTATATACAGAGACAGGGGAATGAATATAGGCAGGACCCAATTAAATATTTTTTTTGTGGGGTATTAACAAAAAATAAGCACAAAATGATTAATTAGATATGTTCTTTGCAGTAGTATAGCAAGGAATTTTTAGTGGGTTTTCTTGAAAACTTGGTTCAGATATGAAACTTTGAGTATTTAGAGGGTAGCTCTTGTAAATATTAATTGATGATTATGGTATATATTCGGTGTGGTGTACTTTTTATTAGACGTGCCATAGAATAAAAGCATAAATTGTTTGCTAGATATTAAAAATCTAAAAGAGCAATTGGGCTGAGAAGCAATTAAAAAATTGGCAGGTACGAAATTAATATGAAGCTTCATCCCCTCACGCAGTGGGACCCATTTATTACAGAGAAATTAATATTCACTCAGTGTGCTTCTATTTATTTATTTATTTATTTATTTATATAGGTAGCTTCTGATTTTCAGATCATATCAAATACATGCTAACTATGTCGATCCAGACATTCCTAAATATATCAACATGCCATGTCTATTCAAATATTCAAATAGATCTACTCTCTCTCTCTCTCTCTCTCTCTCTCTCTCTCTCTCTCTCTCTCTCTCTCTCTCTGGACCATAACAAAATAAATAAATTAACTAATAAATGATTTGAAAGATCATGTCTTTGTCTAATTTGTATAATTTTATGTTATTGTGATTGATTTGAATTTTGAACGAATTCAAATGGTCTTGTCATTTATTTCTAAATGTTGCCCATTTGCCCATTATTCATTATTCAAGATTTATTTTCAATGCCTCTTTTAACCATGTATGGTTGAATTAGTTATTAGATAAATTTGTTAAAGTAATTTTATTTGAATTTATATAACCTCACACTGTACTCTACCATCGATTGTTCTAAAATTAATTGGTGGTAGGGCAAATCTTAGTTTTATGGTGCATTTGGCACATACACACAAACTTAATTAATTTAGCTCGGTTATTGTTCAATATATTCAGAAACCGTGATTACGTCAGTTTACAGTAAGGTCTCGTATGGTTACTTATGTCGGATAAGTTTAGATTTGATGATGAGATTGTATTACTTACCTACTAACTAATTAATTATTTAATTAGCATGATGTTCTATATGTTAGATTAGATCTTATATTGAATCTGTTAAAAGTATGTTATAATATGTAATTTGACTATAATACCACTTAGTTGACAATAATAAGATATAATTTGAAGAATAAATTTGTCCTTTTCATTTTTTAAAGTAACCTCTTACAAAGTTAATCACATGGGAGATGCGTGGGTGTTATTAATTAATAAAATAGTACCAACTAATTGTCTGCTTCAACTTTAATAACGAGTTTGAATTATTACAAATCTTATCAACCGAACGTCTTACATAAACGCTACTAACGATCCTAGAGTACACAATCATATATGTATATAAAAATATAATATAGGCTATATAGCTATTCCCATAAACCTAACTCTTTAATTTCTTCTCTCTCTCTCTCTCTCTCTCTCTCTCTCTAAAGTGTAATCTCTTTCCTTAGGTAGTTGAAGTTAATAGTAACATTCCATGTAACGGCTACACAGTTGTTATGCTGCACTTACCCATTTTCACTCCGCTGTCACTCTCTCCTCACACACACACACACACACACACACACACACATATATATATATATATATATTATATATCAACCCCACAACCCTAACAGCCAAACCCTTAAAATACACACACACTCACAATTACACCATTATATATATTTCTTCCCAAAAACAAAAAACACACATTGATGGTGATTGTTTGGTCCCTTTCAAAAAAATCGTCTCAAGATTCGACTTTTTAATAATCCGTCGACTTTTCCGTTAAGCTGCTGCGAGCTTAATTTTTAATATTTATTTTTGAAATGGAAGGCCGTGATCAGAGCGCCGATTTATCCGATTATTTCTTCGATGAATCCGAGTTTTGTTCCAACAACAGCTTTTGCACTTCACCTGCTGCTTCTGATGATATTTTCAGTGTGCTTGAAGCTTGGGAAAGCGCTTCCGGTTACAATACTCCGGCGTCGAAAGCTGTTGGAAGCGGCGGCGAAAGCTGTTTTGAGTTCCGAAAATCGGCTGCTTATAATAATAGTAATAATTCATCTCCATTTGGCCAAGAATCTGATGAATTAGCTGCAGATCAGGTAGAAGCTGGTTTGCCAAAGTGCAAGAGACAGAAGCTGAATGCAGCTTCTGCTTCTGCTTCTGCTTCAGCTTTTGCTTTTGAGATGGAAGAAGGGCAGCAAAGAATGACTCACATAACAGTGGAGAGAAACAGAAGGAAGCAGATGAATGAGCATCTTTCTGTGCTTCGTTCTTTGATGCCTTGCTTTTATGTCAAGAGAGTAAGTCTTTTTTTCTTTTTTAATTAATTAATGATATTTTTTTATGAATATTTATTAGATAAAATATTATTATTTTTTATATATACCACGAATGGTGACCGACCTATATGTGTTATTAGATCTATTTTGTAGCAGAAAGCTATTTATATATATGATGGAAATATTATCTGGATTAATGGTCATATATGCATTTATTTCCTACTTGTTAAAGCATATATATTTATTTTAAAATTTATGGCAATATCCCAAGATTTTGTCTATGAAATTGAAATAAATGAAAATAAACTAATTAATACAATTATGGGAAATTGTTTTATCTTACCTTTTTTTTTGTTAAAATGGAGAATGAGAAAAAAATAATTCTATTTAGTCTTAATTAAGCTTTAATTCAATGTATATTAGTTAACAAAATACACGTAACACTTAAAATATATCACCTAAAAGAAAAAAAAATTAATAAAAATAAATCAAAAAATAAAAAATGCAGAAACTTTTTTTGAAATTTTGAAAAAAACAAATCTCATTATTAAATTTATTAATAATTTACTAATTGTATTTATGTAATTAATAAAGTTTAATTTGTTTAGGGTGACCAAGCATCAATAATTGGTGGAGTAGTGGATTACATAAACGAATTGCAGCAGCTCCTACAATCCCTCGAATCCAAGAAGCAAAGAAAAGTGTACAACGAAGTTCTAAGCCCGAGGCTCGTCTCAAGCCCGAGACCCTCTTCCACGCTCAGCCCGCGTAAGCCACCGGTGAGCCCGAGGCCCGGCCCGTCAATAAGCCCGCGCACCCCACAACCAAGCGGCGCGTACAAACCCTGGATGCAAAGCCAGCTGCATCCGCCACCGCCTTCTCCTTGCAACTCGTCCGCGTCGTCGTCCATCAACGACGCGGTGAACGAGCTAGTGGCCACCTCGAAATCGGGCCTGGCCGAAGTGGAGGTGAAATTTGCGGGGCCCAACTTGGCGCTCAAAACGGTGTCGAACCGCGTACCGGGCCAGGCGGTCAAGATTGTTGCTGCACTTGAGGAACTTGCCCTAGAGATCCTCCACGTCAGCATCGGCATGGTTGATGGCAAAATGGTCAATTCGTTCACTATTAAGGTACACTACTATACTTTTGCAATTAAATTTCATATATGTGGTGCAATTATATTATATATAATTGAATAAAAATACTAAGATAAATATGGACATGCATGACAAGCTAAAAAAAGTTAAATGTCTTAGCTCTTCTTAATATTTTGGCCTATAAATAGAAGATGAAGTTACAACTTACAATATTTATTTTATGCTCCATTGAGTGGAATACATTGGTTTTATTTTATTGATATAAAGTTAATTGAACTCCCTCGAGCTCACGTATATTTCTATGAGCTCGAGTTTGAGCTAAGCTCGCTCGAGCCTAAATTTTTAGGGCTCATACTCAAGCTCATCATCATCACTCACGAGAAAATTTTGGTTTATTTGTATAATTTAATTTTACGTATTATAAAAATTAATAAATATTATTAGTTTGAAGTATTATTTTTTATAGCAAAACTTATTTTTTTTAAATATCTAAGCAAGTTTAATTTAACTTTTAAATTTGAAGTACCATCGTTAATATATGGGTAAATTACGGATATTTCTGAAATAAGGCTAAATAACTTACAACTCCTTATGGTACTGGTAATTAGAAATACACCCTAAAACTAATAGGATGTTAAAAACCTAACGGAACGAATGAATTGTGTAGATTGCCCTTTTATTGAACTAACAAACTTTGTAAATTACACGTACCTTCCCTAAGGTAAGACAAAATATTACAATTACCACCCAGTGAGTATATTACATTTACCCTCTTTGGGGTAGATCGAAAATTCATAACTAATATTCAATGGAATCTTCAAGATTTCGTTACTCATAACTCCGTAAGAATGTAACTGTAAGACGAATAAACAGCCTAGAAGAGTATTTGCATTACAAAAAATAGCATTTTATGTGACGAAAATATTTGTCGCAAAAACCTAAACTTTCGTCACAAAAATGTTTATGTGACAAATTATTTCGTCGCATCGATCGTCGCGTAGGGCCTGTCGCGAAAGTTAGCAATACCACAAAAATTTGTAAGTTATTTAGTTTTACCATAGGAGGTGCCCGTCATATACCCTTAATATATTTACTATTAACTATACGAGCCGGTTCATTAGCTCACGAGCTCGAGTTTAAAGTCATTTAGCAATGCACAATTCTAAGTGATGTATGTAGAATAAATAGATACAGGCTAAACACTAATCCCTATATTAATTAATCATTAAAAACATGCAGACATTACACACTGTCACTGAAAACAAGGACATTAAATATTTTGTTTTATTTTGCATATGTAAAAAAATAAAAAAATTAATGTTCCTCCAACGACTATACAGTATATATATTTATTACATGACTGTGCCCTTTTTTTTGGTAGATTGGAATTGAATGCCAGCTTAGTGCAGAAGATTTGGCTCAGCAAATCCAGCAGACTTTCTCCTAATTAATTAATTAATTAATTACTTAATTAATTAATTAGTTAATTAGGTGCAACAAATAATAATGCATGGGGTTCTTCTTCTGGAGTACGATGAGGGTTTGCAATTGGAAATGCAAATAAAAAAAAGCAAATGTATTTAATTAGTTATTGACATGTTTGCTGATTAATTTATAATGTATTTTTGTAGTATTAATTAGTTATTCATAATTAATACTACTAATTTGTATTTTTGAATTTGTTTGGTATTATATTATTGACCTTTTTGTATTGAGCTGATGACTGAATTAATTAGCAACTATATTCTTCTTCTTCTTCTGTTTATTTTATTTTAATAAAAAAAAATTTATTTATGAATAAATTGATTTACTGACTCAATTTGGGTTGGGTTATACTTTTTGAGCCCCTAAAAGATTGGCAATTGTTTTAAGCCCAACTACTATGTTGGCCTTTTTTTCGGTTGGGCCGGTTCTCCAAAACAAAATTAAAAAAATATGTTACAACAATTGGCTTCGCCCGGGCTCGAACCGGAGACCTTCAGTGTGTTAGACTGACGTGATAACCAACTACACCACGAAACCATTTGTTAATAATAATTATTAAAGTTCAATTTGTTTGCTGTTTAATCTAAAAGGCGGTCAGCCGAGGCCATTGACTTAAAGCAAAGTAGGCCCCACAGCTTTTGAGATATACGTGTACCTCTCGTGAAGCGCCACGTTTCACAAATAGCATCCATAAGAAATTAAGAAATACCAATCTCTGCTTTGACATTAGCCACGTCACCATAAACTTTTTTGTTACACTGACGTGGACTCTTTTATCTTCGTCAGTATTATGGCCCTCCTACTATTTGCAGCACAAAAGCTTGTGGACGCCGAAATTCAGAGTTCCTATTATTTATATTTCCAATTTCCCTTTTTATTTTATTTTATTTAATTACAATTTCCCGTTCGAAATCGGATCCTTCGTCATCACACAAATTGTCGCCGGAATATTCCATCGCCGTCGAAAGGCATCTTCGTGTCGACTCGTTTGGCTCTATATTTCTACTGTACTTACTCAGGTACTGAAGCACTGTTCTGCGCACTGATATTTTTGTTGATTTGAGTTGCGATTTTGAAATTATGTGGATTTTTGGTTCATTAATGAGTTTTTTTTTAACTAAAAAATCAGTGAAATGTGGTGTTTTATTTCGCCGATTCGTTACTAAATCCTGATTAAATTGCCTATTGGTATTTAATTTGTTCATAAGAAACTTTAATTTTTTTTCTGAAAATTTTGAATTAACATTCAATAATCGGCGCCATGATTGACAGCCTTTGCTGTATAATTTCATCTTGCAGCAGCTGCGTGTAGTAATTACTTATGATTACCTAATTAGCTTCATTTAGGTGCTTAATTAGTTTGGGGTTTTACAGTGTGATAAACGGCGATTTAATATATCTGTACTCTATTTTTAATTGTCATGGAATTATTGATTATTTACTGGTTTCTGATTTTCGACATCGATTTTTTGGATCACACAGCTTTGGCATGGGAGTTGTGACTGTTTCCACCTCTGCTTCGAGAACTTCGTTGGGATTGAACGAGAGATATTTGACTCGCGTATCAATATTGAGAAGGCCGGTAGTATTTGCGTTCAAAAACGATAAGATCAAGAAAATAGTTCTAATTTCGCCGCGAGAATCCGCAGCTCTACCCTTGGAGGCAACTAAAGATAATGAAAAGAGGTTAAGAAAGGTGAAAAAGCGTGCGGAACGAGTAAATGCTGTATCGACCGACGAAGCCCCTCCAAGTACAATAGATTTGGATTACAACGAAGCTGCTGCGAAACTGGAATACATCTTCAAACAGAGTCCCACGGTAGAAATCTCTGTCGATGAGGTCAAAGATGTAAGGGTAAAGAGAAGGCAGCCGCGAAAGAGGACCGAATATGCTGACGAGGCGGAGAAAATTGCTGACAATGTGGTTAGAAGTCGGAGGAGTAAGGATAGAAGATTGAATCTTGAGAAGAGGATTGCTCTCAGGACAAAGAAAGAAGACGAATCGACTGCCATTTTCCAGAGAAGGAAAACCGGAAAGAACGACGAAGATGAGAAGATTGATAGGCTTGTTAGGGACTATTCAGCTTCTTCAGATTTGGTCAGCTTAGATTGGAAGAAAATGAAGATTCCGCCTGTTCTTCCTTCAGCCGAGCATGTGTGGCTGTTTAAGCTTATGCAACCTGTGAAGGTGAGAAAACATTATTTATTTATTTGAATATGAAAAGCTGATTGTATTCATTATTTGTTCTGCTCACTCTGTGTACTGTTGTTTAGGCAATCCTCGATGTGAAGGAGACCATAGAAAATAATTTAGGAAGAGAACCGACGGATGAGAAGCTGGCGACGGCAATAAATATGGATACTGTTCAGCTGAGGAAGCAATTGGAAATTGGTCGAGCTGCCAGAAACAAGTTGATCAAGGTAATTATATCTATTTTTTTTTTTCGTGTTTTTTTTTTTTTTTTTTTGTTGCTAGGTATATGCATGGTAAAAGAGAAACTATCTATTGTGTTCTTAAGCTATCTGCACTGGAAAAATCTAACTGAAGCGGTTATGTTTTAATTCGTTACAGCACAACCTGCGGCTCGTTTTATTTGTGATGAACAAATATTTTCAAGACTTCTCAAATGGGTCAAGATTCCAAGACCTTTGCCAAGCTGGTGCGAAGGGTCTTATAACCGCTATTGATCGCTTCGAGCCTAAACGGAAGTTGCGCCTCTCAACATATGGCCTCTTTTGGATCAGGCATTCCATTATTCGATCTATGACACTATCAAGCTTCACAAAAGTCTCATTTGGCCTCGAGTCGGTACGCTTCCCCATATGCTTTTTTTTTTCACTACCTTCTTAATCTCATACCTATTGAAAAAACATTTATTAAAAATATGAAATATTTCTTTATTTAGGTGCGAGTAGAAATCCGAAAGGCCAAGCTAGAGTTGATGTTTGAGCTTAAGAGACTGCCAACTGACGAAGAAATTGTGGGCCGAGTTGGTATCTCCCAAGAAAGATACCACGAAGTGATGAGGGTATCAAAGCCTATCATTTCACTCCACGCACGCCATTCAGTAACTCAGGAAGAATTCATCAATGGTATTACCGATGTGGATGGTGTCGAAGGAGATAGAAGAAAGCAGCCTGCCCTTCTCAGGCTTGCTCTAGACGATGTGGTAAATCCTAGTCTTAACCCATACATGATATATGATTTATATTGCTCGAGAAATGACTAAACTTTTTGTTAACATTTATACGTTTGACAGCTTGATTCTCTCAAGCCCAAAGAAAATTTGGTGATCAGGCAAAGATATGGACTTGATGGTAAAGGAGATAGAACACTCGGAGAAATTGCGGGAAATTTAAATATTTCAAGAGAAATGGTTAGGAAGTACGAAGTGAAGGCCCTCATGAAGCTCAAGCATCGAGCTCGAGTCGATTACCTTCGCCGCTACGTTTTCAAATGAACCACCATTGGTTCAATGTGGATACCACTACTGTACACTACAAAAATGTTATATAGAGATCATTTGTATTATAGTTAAACACAGAAAAATAGTTAACAATGTATAATCCTCCATTTTTTTCGGGGCTTAACAGCCGCAACCTGCCGTGTATATGCATTAAAAAAAATCGTCTATCCTTTTTCGATTCCTCTCTATATTTACACAGGGGATGAAGACACATGGTTTGTATTATTGTGGACATCAATCCAACTACACCCAACATCCTTCTTACCACCCAATTCTCTCAACATATCCCTCATCTCCATCTTCTGCCCCCACTCACCCGATCTCGAATACATGTTCGACATAATAACACATGCAGACGATTGGTCATTAGGATCCAACTCGAACATTTTCCGAGCCACCCTCTCCCCCACCTCCACGTCCATCCAGAACCAACTCGAGTGTAGCAACGAGGTCAGCACAGCACTATCCGCTCCAACCAGCATCCCCTCGATAACCTCCTCCGCCTCACGCACGAGCCCCGATCGTCCGAGGAGGTCCACAATGCAAGTATAGTGCTCCAGCACCGGAGTTATGAGGTAACGCTCTGTCATCAAACGGAACAATTTCATCCCCTCGTCCACCAAACCCGCCCGTGCGCACGCGGACAAAACCGCCACGAAAGTCGCCCCGTTAGGTGCTACCCGCTGGTCCACCATAAAATCGAAGAGTGCCACCGCTGAGGATCCCAGTCCGTGGTGGGCGTGCCCGTTGATTAGAGACGTCCATGCCGCCACGTTGGGGGAAGATATTGAAGAAAAAGATGCTCTCGCGTCGGAGATGCTTCCGCATTTGGAGTACATGTCAATGAGGGATGTGCCGACGTAGACGTCGGAAGAAAACGGGGTTTTCGCCACATGGGCGTGGAATATTTGCCCTTGTTGAAGACACCCCATGCAAGCACATGCATGGAAAAGAACAGAGAAGGTGGATCTAGTTTCGCTTATCAACGATCTTCGCATGGTTAGGTATAGTTCAAATGCATTTTTAAATAGATCGTTTTGCACATATCCCGAAATCATCGAGTTCCAACTAATTGGGCACGATTCTCCTTTCGCCTCTTTGAAAAGATCCAAAGCTTTGTCAATCTTACCACTTCTCCCATATACCGAGATCATGGTATTCAGACAACTCAAGATCCTGATAGGCATTTGCTCAAACAACTTTTCCGAATCCTCGAATCGACCACATGTTGCATACCCTTTAATCATCAGATTGTAAGAAACTTGATTCTTATCAATCATATTGCCGAAAATCGACTCAGCTTCTTCTATCTTACCCAACTTCAGAAGCCCGCGGATTAGCTCGTTCGAATCCTCCAACGATTGGCTCGAGACACTATGATAAACCTTCTCTGCGTCATCCATGGATTCAGAGCTGGAATACAGAGAGATCAAGGCGCCACTAATGGAACTTTTGTACTCGAATCCGGATTTGATTATAAGCCCGTGAATCAACTTTCCAATCGAGAAATCCCCCGATCTAGCACAACCTCTCACTGCACAATCCAGAGTGATCTCGTTCGGAACAGCCTCGCCACTCTCCCTCATCATCTTGAACATCTTTAACGCTATCTTGCACCCATGATCGTCACTTTTTACAAACCCGGAAATCAAATTTGTCCACTCCACCACACCCCTTATTGGCATTTTGTCGAACACAATCAGAGCTTCTCTCATTAAATTACACTCGACGTAACCCATTAACATCAAACTCCACAGCAGCTCGTTCTCTTGGCTTAACTCATCAAACACCCTTCGCCCATCTCCGATTTGACGACAGCTAGCGTATACGTACAGCAATGCGCTTCCCACAAGCTTGAATTTTTGATGCCCTGATTTGAAGACCAGCCCGTGGACCTGCTGCCCGCTGATTAGAGAATGCGCACGAGCGCATACGCTTAGAGAGACGGAAAATGTAGTCTCGTTGAGCTTGACGTTGGAAAGATGCATGAGAGAAATCAAGCGTAGAGATTCGGGAAACATGTTCAATTTGGTGTATCCGGTAATCATGGTGTTCCACGAAACGACCGTTCGGTGTGTCATTTCGTCGAAAAGCTGGCGGGCGCGTTCGATTTCCCCAGCTTGGTAGCTGGATGTTATGGCTTTGTTAGCGGAGACAATGTCGGGATAAATAGGGCTCTCTTTCCAGCGCTGGTGCTTCCATGTGCCGGAGAACGACGACGGCTCGATCGCCATTTTGATTGAGTTCTTGAGGTTGGCGAAATATTCAAGACGCAGTCTTGACATGGAGCAAACCAGGAAAAGTGGACTGTGGGAGACCACAACTAATATTTATTCATAGTATAAGGTAAAAACTAAAAACTATATTGAAATAAATATAAGGTAATTGTTTAGAATAACTAGTTAAATACTTAAATAATTTTTTATTTTTTTAAATGTAGAAAAAAAATTCGGTGTTTTGAAACCCGGACCGAAATGGCTGGTTGCACCGGTTAAACTGCAAACCATTGTCATGTCTGATTCGGTTTGACCGGTTGTTTCAGTGAAACTAGGGTTTTCCCCGGAAGACAAATTATTTTAGATTATAGTTTATATAATGTTTGAAATAATTTGGTGTGATATGAGTGTGTTGATATATTGTGTAAAATTTAAATAGGAAATGAGTAATAATGAATGAATGTGTGTAAAAGAAAATATAATTTATTTACTATTTAAATTAAATATAAATAATTAAATAAATAAAATTGATTGAACTGGTCCAACCGTGAGTGACGTTGAAATGAGCCCAACAGCCTGGCCTAATAGGCAACATAATCATTCCACATTGATCAACACTAACATACGCCATAAGCGCAAGATCTACATCTAGTTGCTAACATCCGCTGCGCGCCAGGTTATATAATTTACGCCTCTACGGGCCAGGGCCAACCCCTCCATCCAACGATAACACCACTACGTATTTTTTTCCATCCGATAGGCTGTTTCACATATTCAGGGCTGCCTGAACCCTAATTTCTCGATTCTTCCATCAGGTAACTTCGGTTTCTCCTTGTATATCTTTATTGTGTGATTTCATTATTTTCAATTTTAATTAATTATGTTGGTTCTTAAATTAGGGTTCGTGTGCATACATACTGGTATTTGTTTGAGCCCAATTATTTGATTATCTAAATTGACGGGTTGCTTCTGTTATTTATCAATTGAATTAACTCCAGTTCCTGGAATATCAAAATTTCAAGCTGATTACGGTTTATTGCGTGTGCCATTCATTTCGATTGTGAGTGTTGTATTGCAATCTGTAATTGAATTGGGGATTTGATTCAAATTGGGTTTCCGATTTGTGTTTGGCAGAAGACTTTACATAAGAAAATACTTTGTGCGTTTTGATATATCTTTCATATGATTATGTATGTTTTTCGAAGCAAATGTTATGCTTCATGGCTAGAATTTTGTAGTTTACTTATGATATTCATTTTATTATGGAAATTAAATATAGTTGTCTTTTGAAGCTCTGGTTGTAGCGCGGAATGTCGTCCGTTTCCAGCCAGCCTCAGTTCCGCTACACTCAACCTCCATCCAAGGTTCTCCATTTGAGGAATTTGCCATGGGAATGTACTGAAGAGGAACTGATCGAACTGGGGAAGCCATTTGGAAGAGTTGTTAACACAAAGTGTAATGTTGGATCCAATCGAAACCAAGCTTTTATAGAATTCGTAAGTGTAAATTGTTGCTCGATTAATTGAAGCTGAGTGAATCTTTAATGATTCATAGTTACAATCTTTTTTTCTTATGCATCTCTTCACGTCTTAGGCCGAACTGAATCAAGCTATTGCCATGATATCGTATTATGCATCTTCGTCTGAGCCAGCTCAGGTACGAGGGAAAACCGTCTACCTACAATATTCCAACAGACAAGAGATAGTCAACAACAAGACTACTGCAGATGTTGCTGGAAATGTGCTTTTGGTAACAATTGAGGGGAATGATGCTCGTCTTGTCAGTATTGATGTCCTTCACTTGGTAAGAAATCGAGCATCTTCATCCCAAACCTGAAGCAATCTAATTATTGGCAATCGAAGGATGTTTTTCTTTGATATTTTTGTGCCTAGGTTGTAGCATGTCGTGCTTTATTAAGCTTTTATTTGACAAGAGTCTGAATGGATCAGCAGGCACATGTCAAGGAAATATCTTCAATGGCAGCTTATTACATCGGGAGAAAGAACGCATGTGTGTTTGTCTTCTTTCTCCTTTGCTCAACACTGACTCTTTCTTCCCTTCCTCTTCATCATGATTCTAGCCTTAACTATTTAAGAAGCCTAGGATAGGTTTCTTCCCCTTCTTTTTGGATTCTCTTGCATTTATCTTAAATTTCTATTATTTTCTTTCCTATTGTACTTCATAATGTTTCGACTTTAATAACATCTAATGTGAAAAGGAAATTTTCAGTCTAGTTTTTAACCAATCATGCTTAGTACTTCGATACTATCTGAGATTGGGTTTGACTTCTGGAAAACGAAGCCTCAGAATATCATACTAAACTCGATCTTGGACTTTATTGGGAGCTCTTGGAAAACATTAGAAGTTTCCTTTGTTCTGGACTAGCCATCCAGTTTAAATCTTGACACAGTTACGGTGTCTTTTCATTCTGTATTTGATTAATCACATGAAGTCTTCTCTGCAATGTTGTCAAATTTTGAGCATAATGTCTAAGGGGCTGTTACACTATTTTTTCGAAATTTCTATCAATTTTTTGCGGACTTCCTTTATCTGACATATTTTGAAGGAAGCCAGTTTACTGGTTTTCTTAATTTCTGTATAAGATAGAAAGATAATGTCGATTGTTGTGAGCTAGGATGATTATAATATTTTTTTTTACTTCTTGTACAAAAATTGGCAAATCATGTAGTTGCTTAGAAATCATTCGTAGAATTACAGCTACCTGAAGGCCCAAGATTTACAGCATTTCTTTTATCAGGATTAAGTTCTTGTATAATGCAGCTTGCATTTATTTATAAATTAAATTTCATGTTAGGGTCAACCACTAGCACTTCTCAAAATTTTGAAGCCTGGGACTCATCTAATAGCAAAAAAGTACAAAAGGCAGCGTCATTTGCAATCTCTTTTTTCTTGTTTGTTGTGTTTGCTATTTGACTTTTAAAAGGGCAACAGGCATAATCTATTACTAATACATACTTACCTGGTACATTACTTAAACCTTGTCTGATTTGCAGGTATTTTCTGCATTTGGGTTCGTTCATAAGATTACTACCTTTGAGAAGACTGCTGGTTTCCAGGTGTATATCTTGTATAAAGCTTCATTTTGAATGATAATTCATTTCTTGACCATAGGAAATTTTCTCAACCTCACAGTTTTCATGTTTTTCTCCTTCATCAGGCTCTAGTGCAATTTTCTGATTCAGAGACCGCCTGTGCTGCCAAGGATGCCCTCGATGGAAGAAGCATTCCAAGGTGATCTGGATTTTTATATTTGGATTTGGATGTACCCCAACTGTTGTCAATACATTGGGACTGGACATCTTTCAGAAGCTTTATTAAGAATCTTCTAAAGGGGTACATGCATGTTCCTTAGCCCACTTCACCTCTCATGTTTATTCATTTATAGCCACCTTTATCTTCAGTAACGACAATTCCTCTTAAGTTAGGCTCTTATAGGTAAAGGGGTGACCTAGAACACCTGTGAGCAGGTTTTGAGTGGGAAAACCAGACATGGACCATTCTATTGAAGTATAAAATAAAATAGGCATGAGGGTATGAGCTAACTCAATGACCTACATGGGTGAAATGTCGAACTTAAGAAGCTATCACAAACTTGTCACATCCAGTGTCTTGTTCGCAACACAATATGATGTGCTTAATAACTCGTAATAACCCATGTATTTCACCCTATATTAAGTCCATGAAAAAGGACAATGCTGTAATTCACCAATTTATAAATGTTTGGTAAATAACTTGGTTTTCCTAATCTTTCACTATGTGTGATAACCCATTCTTATTCAGTGTGTTGAATATGTATTTTCTTGAATGATGTTCTCTTTGTTGATCTGCTGCTTCTGTCTTGAATTTGTGCAGCTATTTGATTCCAGAGCTGGGACCATGTTCACTTAGGATCACATATTCTGCACATACGGACCTCAGTGTAAAATTTCAGAGTCATCGTAGTAGGTAAACTGAATCCATTTTTTTGCCAATTGCATTATTAGAGATCAGAAATGGTAGACATCATAATATTGTATCTTATATCGGTAGCACCACGAACTCATATCTGTTGCGGATATTACTTTTTTCTTATGGAAGTTTGTTTTGTGTGTTGACATTCTAATCGTTTTACGCTGTGTGAATAAAGGGACTACACCAATCCTATGCTACCCGTTGCTCCTTCAGCTATAGATGCAAGTGGCCAGGTAAATATTGCATGAGCTCTTTAATTAATATTGACATCATTTTCTCCTGAATTAGTATAACTGGAAATTTGATTGGCCATGCTTGACAAACTTATATGTTATCTTAAGAGAGAAACTTTTAACCTTTTGATGGCATGCATAGAGATGAAATCATTCACTTGTGCAAAAATAGTATAAAATGCATCGTAGATACATAATTACATAACTTTCAGATGCTGTACGGCAACATTCACCTGCATGCTTACAGGTTAGTCTTGGAGCTGATGGAAAAAAACTGGAGCCGGAGAGCAATGTTCTACTTGCTTCCATCGAAAACATGCAATATTCTGTCACCTTGGACGTTTTAAATACGGTAGCTACCTTCAAACATGAGAAGCATTATACATCAGTTGTTGGTTCATTCCTTACTTTGATTTCATTTTGTGCTTATTAGGTCTTCTCATCATTTGGGCCTGTCCAAAAAATTGCCATGTTCGATAAAAACGGGGGTCTTCAAGCTTTGATTCAGTACGCTGGTAAGATGAAATTGATCAACCGTATGCCACAGTTGTTCAAAATCACTGTTCACATTCAATGGGCTAAAAAGTATAGTAATTTACTCGTTTTAGATTTAGATTAGGTACTGACAACTCAATTTGACTTGCAGATGTCCAGACAGCTGTTGTTGCAAAGGAAGCCTTGGAAGGACATTGCATATATGACGGTGGTTACTGCAAGCTTCATATCTCGTATTCTCGACACACTGATCTCAGCATAAAGGTGAGACTTGGAAAAAAAATACATAATTTATTTGTGCATTTTTGTATGATCATGAATTAAATATATAATTTTGTTCATTTTCAGGTCAATAACGACAGGAGCAGAGACTATACCATTCCCATCGCTCCTGTCCCTGTTGTGAATACTCAACCGTCGATACTGGGACAGCAGCCATATCAAGGGGGAGGTCCAGGTGGTCATGCATACAGCGGACCACAGTATCCTGTGGGGCCCGATCCTCGTGCAATGCCACCTCATTCAGCTGGTTGGAATCCAGCAATACCTCAGTCTATGCCAATGCAGATGCACAATTACCCTTACGCCCCTCCTCCTGGAGGTAATCCTGCAATGGGGCCCGGCCCGTTACGTTCTCACCCCCAGAATGGGCCCCCACACTCGTCTCCGATGCACCCATATCATCATCATCATCCTCATCCTCGTCAATAGCACAAGTTTGGTGCTGGTTTAAAGAATGATGGTTTTGAGTTGCGAAAAAAGCAAGATTCTCTAGTAGTGAAAGATGAAATGTGCTCCATTTTTAAACATGAATATGTTTATGGGTTTCACACTTGGATGGGGTGTTATACATTTTCAGCTTTTCTATTGCTTGTTTCTCTACTTGATGTGGCTTTAATGTACATCTTACTTGAACTATAAAATAATATAATTGATTTTTTTTTTTAAATTGTTAGAGGTGATATATAACATCCCTTGGGCATTTTACTATAGCTAAGAAAAATACATTTATCAGTTGTGTTTGATGACATTATTATATAATTTGCTGCCCATAATTTTGGTAGTAGCTTTGGTAGTTATTAGTGGAATAATTGCAATTACAGATCAAATAATTATTTTTTAAAATTTATTAAAGAATGGGAAATTCATTATTATAGTTCATGTATTTAGAGCCCGTTTGGCTAAGCTTATTTAAAACATCTTATAAGCTCCTACATCTGATAAGATGTTTTAGGAGCTGATAAGCTGTTAGATCTTATTTTAAAAATTAATTTTTAAGGTGTTTGGATATGTAACTTATAAGTTAATTTTTGTTTTTATAAGTTAATCAGGTGTTTGGAAATAAAAGGTCTGTTTATCACTATAATGACAAAAAAGTACATGACGCCATTATAACTGTCAAACTAATTCGACTTAAATAATTTTGTTCCTAAAATGTTATTATAATAATATTTACAAATTAATTTTTCAAATAAAAATAATAATATAAAATTATATATTAAACATACCAAATATTTTTTTTATGTATGTTGATATGACATTTGACAATTTTTTAAAATAAAATGAAGTGTAATAAAATATTTTAATGAAACAGATTTGTGAAAGTTTTAATTCTTCTCCCATTAATATATTAATATATAATAATATAAAGGTTGTAAAAGAAATGTATATTTTTTTATAGCTAGATAAAAGAAATATAATTTATTATTGAGATAATAAGAATATTCGGGTATTTTTTATACATATAAAATATAAATAGAGAACATTTTTTTTACAATTATTATGATAATTATATTTTAACTAATTATTAATCTTGATTACAAGAATATGTTGTTTTGATAAAATATAAATGTTATTAGTATTCATGTAATATAATAAAGTATTTGAGGGTAATTTTGTATTTTAAGTGTTTTAGTAAAGAATCAAATAAGATCTTATTGAAAAAAGGTGGGGTGGAGGTACTTTTTTAAAAACATCTTATAAGCTCCCTAACAGCTTATTTTTTGAAAAAATAAGATCTTTTTGAATTTTTTTACCAAACACTTTTTAACAGCTTATAAGCTCTTAAACATCTTATAAGATGTTTTTAGGAGCTTATAAGCTTAGCCAAACAGGCTCTTAGGAAAACTAGTGTTTCACCCGTGCGTTGCACGGAGGTCAGTTTCAAAATAAGAAAAATAAACTTATGTAAACGACTATCTCTTTATAATAATACCAATTAAAGTAAAACAAAATGGAAGGTAATAAAAAACAAACTTTATCTCTTAATTTAGAATTGTAACATATAAAGTTAAGTTAAATATTACAAATAAGAAAACATGAAGCGCGCAAAACACGATATTAAGATTAAGTGAAATCGTTTAAAACATATGGTATAACTCTATTCTTGGATTGCAATCTACTACACCATGTGAATCTTCTGCAAAATAACGTCAATAGATCAAAATTAATAATACACAACTATCATAAATTAATAACATTTAAATAGAAAATGAATGTAATTTCAAAAATAGAAAATGAATGTAATTTCGAAAATAGAAAATGAATGTAATTTCGAAAATAAAAAATGAATGTAATTTCAAAAATGAATGTAATTCCGTTAATTACGTAGTGGTTTTCATTAATTACATAATGATTTTCTGTTAATTGATAAGTTTATAGTGACTTTTTGCAATGTAATTTGTTAATTACAAAGTGATTTTCATTAATTAAAGAGTAATTTTCATTAATTACAGAGTGGTTTTCGTAAATTGATAAGTTTTTAGGGATTTTTTGTCATAGAACTTGTTAATTACATAGTGGTTTTCATTAATTATAGAGTGATTTTTGTTAATTGATAAGTTTTTAGTGAATTTTTGTAATGAAATTTGCTAATTACATAGTTTTTCGTTAATTTACAGAGTGGTTTTCATTAATTATAGAGTGGTTTTTAATTACATAGAGATTTTCGATAGGTTTATAATGGATTTTCGTAACAAAATACTACTATAATTACATAGTGGTTTTTGGTAAATTTACAGTGGATTTCAATTTGTTAAAAACATTATTTTTTTTTAAATTTAACTTTAAAAAAGAGATGTATAAAAAAAATCATTTAAAAAATTTAAAAAAAAATGATAAAACTTAAAACATAAAAAATAAAATAAAAATCCAATTAATTAATTAATTAATTGGAAGGAGAAAGTGGCGTGATACATGAGAGAATAGGGGGTGGTGGGGAGAAAATAGGGGGATTTGCATATCTACAAAAGAAATAATGGATTTTTTAAAATAATATAATATGAAAATTTTCAATAATATTAAATAGGGGCATTTTGGATAATTCGAGCCAATTGGGTTTATAACCAATATCAATTAAAAAAATTGGATTTATTAAGAAGTCAAAATTCAATGAAGGGTGTTTGACAAATAGCCCCTTAATAAATATGTATCTTACTTATAAAATAAGTTTAAATAATTTTATAATTTATAAACTCATTCTATATAATTATATGATTTTTAATTTTTTTTTTCAATTTTTTGCCTTGGGCCTGTTGGGCCCGTCAAAATACGGAAAAATGGGCTAAAGGGCCGGGCTGAGCTGATGGTTTCCCTCCATGGGCCGGGCGGGCCGGCCCGTGAAAATAGTAGGCCGGGTGGGCTGAGACCGTGGGCCAGACGGGCCGGTGTTCATGGGCCGCGGGCGGGCCGGGCGGGCCATTTGTTCACCACTATTTGTGACTAATGGTGTTCAATTAGTGATGCACATTACTCAAACAACAATAAAATTTATAAATATTGCAAAAGAGATATGATGTATACGCCACTATTATTACTGATACTAATGTTAATATCAATACCGATACCAATACTCATATCAATATTGTTACCAATAGTGATACTAATTCAATTAATATTGATACTCATACTAGTACTAATACCAATACTAATACTAATACTAATACTAATACTAATACTAATACTAATACTAATACTAATACTAATACTAATACTAATACTAATACTAATACTAATACTAATACTAATACTAATACTAATACTAATACTAATACTAATATTAATACTAATACTAATACCGATACTAATAATGATACTAATACAAACATTAATACTAATACAAATATTAATACTAATACTAATACTAATACTAATACTAATACTAATTCTAATACTAATATTAATATTAATAATAGTACTGATACTAATACTAATACTCATACTCGTACCAATACTAATACTAATAATAAATCGAATACTAATACTAATATTCATATTGATACTAATACTAATACTAAAAATAAGACTAATATTGATACTAGTACTAATAATAATATTGATACTTACACTGATAATTATAGTGATACTAATACTAATACTAATACTAATACTAATACTGATACTAATACTAATACTAATACTAATACTAATACTAATACTAATACTAATACTAATACTAATACTAATACTAATACTAATACTAATACTAATACTAATACTAATACTCATACTAATACTAATACTAATACTAATACTAATATTAATACTGATACTAATACTAATATTAATACTAATATTGATACTAATAGTAATACTGATACTAATACTAATACTCATACTCATACTCATACCAATACTAATACTAAAACTAATAACAATACTAATACGTACTAATACTAATATTCATATTGATACTAATACTGATAATAATATTGATACTTTCATTGATAATGATAGTTATATTGATACTAATAATAATACTAATACTAAAAATAAGATTAATACTGATACTAATACTAATAATAATACTGATCTTTATAGTGATATTGATACTAATATTAATACTAATAGTAATACTAATAATAATACTAAGACTAATACAGATACCAATATTAATTCTATTACTAGTACTAATATGTTAATATTGTTAATGTTAATGCTAATGTACATATTCTAATGCTAATACTAATTTTAATGTTGATGTTAATCTGGATATGCTTATGCTGATTATAATTGTAATACTAATATTATTCAAATCCTTATCCTATTCCTAATCCTATTCAGAACACTAATCATAATTATAATCCTAATCGTAATTCTAATCATAAACCTATTTCTAACATTAATTATAATCCTAATAGTTTTATTACTAATAATACTAATGCTATGTTAATGTTATTTCTAATTATAATTCTAACTATAATCATAATCCTAATGCTAATCATAATCATAATACTAATACATGTCACTAATTGTAGTACGAATCAATAATCTTAATCTTAATTATAATTCTGATACTAACATTAATCATAATCATAATCACAATCCTAATATTAATTATAATACTATATTAATCCGAATCTTAATCCTAGTATTAATACTAATACTAATTCAAAGAATATTAATTATAATCTTAATTCTAATACTAATACTAATCACAATCCTAATTATGATTTTGCATCAATATTTTTGCAATTATCTATTATTTTGTATCAAAAACATTATATTCAATCTCGCAACTTTTATATCAAATTCCGTATGTGTGGTACCTGATACATCAAGACACACATATTAAATATATTAGAAATTAATATTTAATTATATTATCAAACTGACATTTAAATTATTTAAAATAATATAAGGGTATAAGCAAACGCTAAGACGTGAAAAGAACAATAATTGTGTTAATAGGATAAATTACAAAAATCCTCATGAACTTAGGCTTAATTACGGAAAACACCCCCACTTATCGGTAATTACCAAAATCCCCCAGATGTTTGTCTATGTCTTACACGACCCCCTTATGGTGTGATTTTTTACAGAATCTTTTCTATTCCATGTAATATGTGGATTCTACCCTTGCAGACGTGACATTTCTTTTATCTTACTTTTTAAATACAAAAATTACCCTTAGGGGAGGTAATAGTAATAATAAAAAATTGTGAAGATGTT